TGATGAATTTAACCTACTTCTAATTGTCATATTGACTTGAAACTTTGCAAGTATTTCTATTTCCGTTGATAGTACAGTGGTTCGGTGTTGTTGACCTGATCTGATGCCAAGGCCAGAAGGTGGATAGGTGGAACTCTTCAACGGCTAATAGTAGATACTTTGAGTTTGGGCTTATTTTGTTTGATTTGACAAGCCTAACACGTTAGAATCATTACTTTTCTACTACTGTCTACACTAAAAAGGGAAAAAATAAAAACTTTTTAACAAAAAAATAAAAACCGACTTCAAACAAAAGCACTAAAAAGTAAAAAATAACTGATTGGTAGTTTTCATTTACTATACATACCTAATCAAATATTTTCGAAGTCGGTGTGCTTTGGCTAAGTAATTAAAGCCTACCTATTAAATACATACCTAATCAAATATTTTCGAAATCGGTGCCAGCCCATACAAAGCAAAGCACACCGACTTCGAAAATATTTGATTAGGTATGTATAGTAAATGAAAACTACCAATCAGTTATTTTTTACTTTTTAGTGCTTTTGTTTGAAGTCGGTTTTTATTTTTTTGTTAAAAAGTTTTTTTGTTTATTCGTACATTTGGCTCTTAAATTTGAATGGTTTTCCTTTTCTAGGAACATTTAATTTAACATTAGTGTTTAAATACAGTAAAAATACAGAGGTAACAAACAAAACTATTTGAAGTAAATCAAAAGTGTTCAGTGATTACATTTTGCTTTGGTGTCGTGTTTCCTGCAAGAGTATAATTGGAACGAGGATAAACACTTGGGTATGCGATATGCGTTTACCTCCTCTTGGCACATATATTTATATACTATAATATTATTTATCAATATAATTCAGCAGAAAATGACGTGATGTTTTACATACAAAGATGGCTGGTTTACAAAGATTTGGTTGGCAATTCTGGCGTACATTCAATTTTTTATTTGTTTACCAGCAAATTAACTTAGACTGTTATTTGTTTGTCCTTGATATAAGTAAATAAAAAATCTAGAAGAATATTATCAATTCGGTGATATTTTGGCTGTTTTTAGTGACCGTACTTGCTGTGCCAGCGGGTCGAGGGTTCGAGTCCCGCTATTCATTTGTGTGATGAGCACGAAGTTTGTACTCCAGTTATGAGTGTTTATATTTATAATATGTATGTATTTAAATTTATAAATGTGTAGTGTATCAACTATCTGCCTCGTAGCTTACCATGGAACTAAATGGTGCTGTGTGTTATTGTCCCAACATATTTATATCAATTGTGATCAGTCTCAATTTTCTTGCACTACCTATTTAGTAGGTACTAATGTTGTTTTTAATTTGCATTTGATAACTCTTTAGTTTGTAATTTGTAAAATGGAGATGTCTCGTTTGGTGGATTGCACTGTGTCTAGTGTCTACCTTGCAAACATACGAATTCATTTCCTCAAAGCTTTGCGATAGCTTTAAAACGCCGGTACTTTTGATGTTTCCATTTTTTTCCACACAGAAATTTGTTTACACTTTGTACCGTTCTGACAATACTAGGGATTCAGCCCCACAACAAAAAAACAATGTTAACTTATAACCGACACTTATTTAGGTATATCACACACATATAAACATAGATATGTTCAATTATAGTTTAAATTCGATTATCCTAATTTGGACGTTTTCTAATAATACGATTCCTCCAATTCAGTATATAACTGATTTATTTTAAAATGTATATTGCTACTGCTAAAACATAGATATAATTTTACACAACAGCAGCAAGCCGTAGACACAAAAAAAACTATTTCCACTTACATACCTCTACAACATCATACAAATTATACATACTATTTATATCCTTAGAGCGACGTGATTAAGCATTTCGTTCAACGTCAAAGGGAAAACTAATATATTTGAACAAGTCATGAATGCTAAGCTTTATATTATTTTATCTCCCATAGAGCTAAAAGCCATGTACTTTTCTCTAGTTTTATCAGAGCTTTCGCATGAAAAGGCTTCGAGGATGATCGTGCGTTAATGCGAATCGCCCAGAGAGGCATGTCTGTATAATTTCCTCTCAGACTTAAAAGAACTGTCATTACCCAGCAGCAAATGTGTGACATAATGCTTCGTTTTTCATTGTGTAATTACTTTTTTAATGGTTTACGCGTGCATTGGTTTTCTTCTATACATCTTAATTTAGAGCTTAAATAAAAATTTATATACTTACTCTTAAGTGTAGAGTGTTTTATTAAAATTAATATGATATATCAAATGCTTTCCTTTTTTAACATATGTTTAAAATTTACATTTAATATCTAAAATAATGATTTAATTAATACCTAATTTTATAAAAACTTGTATTAATTATTTGCGCATAAATTAACTTTATAACAAAGAATCACAACACTAGTGTCTTTCCATTTTATGCAATGGGATAAAAGCCAATGTTATTTCATTAACCCATAAATATTCATATGCTTAGATCATGTCGATTGCTGCATGAAAAAGGACGGACATACGAACATATGTTCACATTTATAATTATAAGTAGCGGCTCACCCTCGTTTCGCTCAGGTTGGTCCCTGCTGAAAAACAAAAACAAATCTATCCCACAGGAATCGTACATTTTTTCGGAATAAAAAGTATCCTACGTGCAATTACAGACTATAATTTATCTCTATGCTAAATTTCATCCAGATCTGTTCAGCCATTTTAGCGTGATTGAGTAACAAACATCCATCCATCCAATCTTTCGCATTTATATAGTAGTAAGATTATTGTGAAATACCTACATTCAACATAGTCAGTCCTATACCTTAACCATCGATCGGCTAGAATTCTCGTAGACTAAGATTGCTCTCACTGCTCCAGACACCGTATAAAATATAAAACCTTTCTTATAATTCATTACTTCAAACACCTGTCCATATCTAATGTTTATTCAGAAACCTTTCAGCCTATCTCCGTTGACTATTTCTAGACGTAACTAGTGTATTATCTTACGGAAGCTACACTAACGGATGCTGCAATCTGGACCGCTTGGCATAAATGTAGATCTAGCTCTACTTGTTTACGCTGGCTTAAACTATTTAACTCGCTCTTGTACCTATTTTGAATAACTTATGTGATTAGAAAGGTTTACCAATTTCAAAGTCACTGTGAGGCAGGTTTTTTGACAAAAAATCATAAATCGGTATTTAGTCTTTCTCCTTTATACATGTTAGTTCAATAATATTTGTGTCGTGATTATAATATAAGATTTAACATAACATAGATATTGTATTAAATGGTGTTTTACAGACGAATAAATCCTAAGAGTATAAGAGTAAAACGATAATTTTATTCATAGAGCTGTTAATTGTATTTCATTTTTAAAATTGTAATAATTATAATAATAACAGTAAAAATTAAATAAACAATTTTCCATATTCAATTATAAAACTAATAAAAATTATAAAAATGTTTAAAGTTAAAAAAACAAAAGTGCAATTTTCATTTTGTTAATTGTGGGTAGGCTGTCTGTAACAACTATACCTTCGAGACATCTAACACCTCAGTCTCTCCCGTGACCATGATTGCTGTAAAGCTTGGGAACCAAAAATCCGAAAAAATCCGAAAAGATAGTTTTATTTAAAAAATCATTCAATCCTACTAATAGGTATTATAAATGCTAAAGTTTGTGAGTTTGTTACTCTTTCATGCAAAAACTACTGAATTCATTTTAAAGAAACTACAGTCATATAGCTCATATATTAAAATAGGCTACTTTTTTTCGAAAAAATGTACGGTTCCCGTGGGATAGATTTAAAAAAAAAGTAACATCGCTTGCCATTAGATAAAGGTTCAAACTAAATCTGTCATCACTATAGCTGACTAAGGCTACACCTGGTTTGACTTGTAAATAATATAGGTTATTTTGAGATACGATTATATAAAACGCGTTTGTAGCGGTAAAAGTAGCAGGTAGCTAGCGGGTTTTCTATCCGATTTGCTGTGCCTTGTTTTAAATTTTAAAGGTAGGTACATAAATTTTATAAATTCGATATGCTATTCTCTCTCTTTAAATTTAAATTAAAAATGTTTGGAATGACATAATCAAGCGTTAAATCACGCGCATTTAACGTATTCGTATAACCTCAGATACAGGAATATTACCTTGTTTTGGGATCAAAAGCTTAGAATTCTTCTATACATATAATAAAATTCTAAGTGAGTCGAATCTGTACATTATTATTTTTTTTGGAAATCTAATTGAAATTAATGAAATTTGGTATGATGATAGCTGGTTATCCGGGTATATCAATATAGGATACTTTTTATTGTGGGAAAATATCTCATCTCTGAGAAATCTATACTAAACGTTAAAACGTAAATTATTTATTTCTACTCAATAAAATACAGATACATAATGCTGTATACTAAATTTATGTATTATCATATTGAATTTGCGGCAAGAAAAGCAATGAATACAGATTTATAAAAATAAAAACATAATTCGTAAGCCAACTTAAAATGATACTTAACCACTAAGGATTATGGTACATCCAATATTTACAAAGACTACGTCGCGGTACTGTGTTAAATGAAGTGTGAGATAGTACCGCAACTAGATCTTTTGTCGTCTCGACACTCCGACGCGACTGTCGATGACCATGCAAAATGAAAATTCTAAAACTCGAAAATATTAGGAACGTTTCAAAAATCTATACATATAATAAAATCTAACTGGTCGAATCTGTACATTGAATATTTTTTTGAATATATAGTTTTTAGAATTTTTGTTTGTCTGTCTGTCTGTCTTTCGGTCTGGGAACAAATAATTTAGATGGAATTTGGTATGATGATAGCTTGCTATGCGCGTTAACATTAAGGATACTTTTTACTGTGGGAAAAAATCTCATCTCTGAGAAATCTGTATTAAATATAAGATTCGCTATGGTCTTTACGAAATAGGTATTAATTAATTAGTAATTGTTTTCGGTTAAAATAAAGTAATTATTACTTTTTTTACAGACAAAATGAACGGTCTAAATGGACACAGCAATGGGGACTCCAACAGTGCAGGAGACATCATCACTCAGAACCAGCAACGTGGATGGTGGACCATCGGTCTGATCAACTCCCGCTACCGGTACCTCACTGCAGAGACCTTCGGCTTTAAGATCAACGCCAATGGTACCAGCCTGAAGAAGAAACAGATATGGACCCTGGAACCTGCCTCCGGAAACGCTAACGACAGTAAGTTAAAGTATTTTATTGGACAGATTATTTATCTTGTAAAAATATAGAAGAACATTTATGTAAATGCTCATGACATTTATCTATACAATAAAATATAATGTTTGATGCGAATATATTCGGGCTGTTATAATCGTTGGATAAAAATACTGACATTTGCATGCAAGAAAAAAAGTGCGTTTTTAGCACGATCTTTTCTTCCCGATCTGAAATTTTGTGGTTTCTGGTGATTAAATTTTTGACCTAATATAATCAAATTGAAAACTTTACACTAAAGTACTCGTAAAACTTTAACGTAACGAAATACTGTATGCCAAAACAATGTACTGAAAAAAAAAGAAAATATTTTTCAATCAACAGCGAACATTGCAGAAGTCAAAGGATATTATCACAGCTTAACATGCACTCCAAATAAAAGGGTTCCCCAATCAGCCAAAAGCGAGATCTGCAATGAAGGCGCGCCGCCACCCCGCGCTAATTGAACCAGCCTCCCCTCATATTGAGAGCTTAATTGCTTCGTCGCGCTTTTCAAAGCTTTATGTGACTTAAAATGATTTTAATATTTATATTTTTGACGACACGTTTGGCTCAGTGTGTAGCGATCCTACTTGCTGTGCCAGCGGTCGCGGGTTCGAGTCCCGCTGGGGGCATTCATTGTGTGATGAGCACGAATGTTGGTACTCCAGTCATCGGTTTATATTTATACTCGTAATATGTATTTATTTAAAGTTATATATGTATAGTGTATCAACTATCTGGTATCCATAACACAAGCCTCGTAGCTTACCATGGAACTAGATGGTGCTGTGTGTTAATGTCCTAAAAAAAATTTAAGACCTACGTCAGAAGACCTAATCCTAACGTTGACTTTTATCCATTTTAATCCATGTACTTAATACTAACCGCTGTCTAGACTCTGGATTATGGACTTATTTTAATTTTAACACGCATCCCTATCATTCAATTTAGATATTGGCTGTATTATTAAACTAAACATATTTAAGTAATGGCCAATAGGTACGTTTATTTTATACTAGCGACTCGCCCTTGCTCCGCTCGGGTTCGTCTCTACTTACGTTTTAACGTTTAAGTTTCTCAGAGATGAGATATTTTCCCGTAGTAAAAAGTATCCTATATGTTGAACCGGATAATCAGCTACCATCATACCAAATTTTATCAAAATCCGTCCAGTGGTTTTTCCGTGATGCAGTAACAGACAGACATTTTTTTTAAAAATCTATAGATTCGGCCTCTGTATCGATAAAAATGTCTATTTCAATAAGATTTTCCAATAAATATTTAATGTACAGATTCGGCTTAGTTACAATTTTATTATTTGTATAGATTATTTGATCATGAATCACTTGAATGGCTGAGCGGACTTTGATTAATTTTATGGCATCTGAAGGCGAGTCTCAAACTTTAAATATTTAATTTAAGCTTTCATAGGGAAGTATTCCATAATATACTATGAAAATGACCTTGGGCTTATCATTATCATAAAAAGGAATGGTCACCATGCATACAATCTTTACAAACTCATTTTTGATTAGAAAGTACAAACTATTCATATATCACTACGACCCCATTAATTACTGCGGGAGAGGAAAAGCTTTTGAAGTCGTACGAGTTTTACACAAATATCAATTCACCTACACATGTATGGGTCCAATCAAGGGGTCGCACCCCATTGCCAAGGTCTCCAGCTGTTACGTACCGATCAATACCTTTGGTTTCCGCCCGTCCAATCATTTAACTAAGCATCTGCATATGTCCGAACTGACATATCTGTTCGTCTCTATAGGTAAACGAAATGTACACAGACCGACAGATACATCGGTTAGCTTAGATTAAGGTAGGTTTATGCTATGGAGGAAAAATAACAGTTTATTTATATAAATAAAAATGAATCAACCTCATTACTTAAAATGGCTGGACCAATTTTTTAAATAAGTAAGTATTATGGTTGGACAGGCTTGGCTATTTTTGTGCCTGTAAAAATTGGTAAAATCGAGAAAAATAGAGTGCTTTTTTGATAGAATTTTTGTTATAAATTCAAAAATAAAATTGACATTTAGATAGTTTGTCCTGTCTTTGACTTTCGGATCAGCTAGTGAAAGATATATGTACATACATACATGTATGTTTTTAATACATATGGATTTAAACATACACTTTACACTTTATGTTTTGTCAGGTAACTGAGCTGGCCTATGTAGCGAAGTGAGCCTGGAGCAACATGCATTTTAAACCTTAATTTTATTATTAAACAGTTGTAATTTGTGTTTCAGTTGGAGCAAACAGCTCATATAAGTCCCATGCTAGCCATAAAATGAGGAAATAAAAGATTAAAGTGCGTTAGACAACTTGACAATTTTAGTGTAATTGGACGAAGAGTAAATTCCTCAAAAGGCATAAATTTTAAGTGTTATTGTAGTATGAGATATTACATTCTTTAAAACCAAAGTCGTTAAAGTACCAATTTACTTCTATATATCTAAGTTCTTTAAACTAACACGGTCTATAATTTACATAAAATCTATATAGCAAACAGTCTGTACAAAAAATCAAAATACAAAACCACAAGAAAATGCGAAAAGATAGTTTTATTTAAAAAGCCTAGTTATTATTCAGTTTCCACTAGTAACAAAGATGTTTGTATGTCAATCGCTTCTTAAGACCTCTCAGTAACAATAGGCTGTGTAGCTATTAATAGGCCATGAAGCAAAACTTTGTCCACAACTTCTCCATCTTAAAGCTACGTTGGTTTATTGTATACGCTATTGTTGTTGAGATGCAAACTTTAACAAGATAGCATCCTTCTTTACAATCTCTTAGTAGTTTTGACTCTAATTGTATCTAACCAAATCTCGACATAACCTAAATAAACTTTTTTATTATTGTACAGCTAAAATCTATACTTATATTGTATTCAGCCCTTTTTGTCCCACTGCTGGGGGTGGGCTTCCCTTCAATATGAGGGGCATCAGGCCATAGTCCACCACACTGGCCAAGTGCGGGTTGGCGGACTTCACGTCCTTCGAAACTTGTTAGGTTGTCTCAGACATGCAGGTTTCCTCAGGATGTTTTCTTTCACCGTAAGACAAATGGTAATCATAATGGGAATGATTCGCACATAACAATATCAGAGGTGCGAGACCCGGAATTTGAACCTGCTTCACTCGATTACCTAAGCGAGCGCATTACCACTGGTCTACCACTGCCTCAGAAATCTATAATAAACAAAAAATTATGTGTCTGTCTGTGAAATCAAAGTTATTAGTCTTGCAACTATAGTATAACATAAAGTTATACCAAAAAATGTTTTTTCTTTAAAAATGAGAAACAATTCCAATTAGCAACACGTAGACATGACTCTCTGTTGCTTGCATACGTTTCATCTAACCCGCCGGCATTTTAACTGGCATCCTTGTGAGAAGTATTCACATCGCCTTTATCATCGCAACTATGACAGCCACTTAAGCCAGTTAGCGCAAAAACCCACTGCAGCCATTGTTGAAACGCGCTCCACTCACTTGTTCTCCTTTCACACGCGAAACAAAACGACACTGTTATGGAATTGAGAAATAGATTGTTTATTCATTATTAGTTTCATTCCGTGACTTTGCTTGTCCTGTATTGACAATTGACCGACTTTGAAAGAGGTGATGTCTACTTAATTCGACACACTTCCATGTCTTAAGGGCAAGGGTTTTCTGTCATTGTTGAGACTTTTTATATTCCCTACATTAAAAAACTTTATAATTTTCTTTAGTTATGTTTTATTAACGTTTAGTATTGATTTCTCAGATATGAGATATTTTTCCGCAGTAAAAAGTATCCTATAGGTTCACCTGGAATACCAGCTATCATCTTAACAAATTTCAAAATCCGTCCAGTGGTTTTCTCGTGATGCGTTCCCAGACAGACAGACAAAAATTCTAAAAATTATAGATGATTACTATTTTAAAAAGATAATAGACAAATATTTTCAAAAAAATATTTAATTTACAGATTCGACACACTTACAATTTCATTATATGTATAGATTAATATTGGTGACAAATTATATCGAAAAGTCTGGTTGTGTACTTTTCAATGTCCATGAATAATTCATACAAACATCTCCTGCTGGCTCGACGAATAAAACATTTCTACGATTAGAAAGAACATCTTTATTCAAATGAAAACGGTATTTATGATATTTTAACGATACCTTTACATTTTATTTTGCAAATTAATACTGTTGACTCGCTCGACCGTTACGCCCAACATATTTATTAGTTAATATTTGTTATTTTTTATTAAATTACATACATATTAGCGTTCCGTACACAATGACACAGAAAAAAGTAAGAATTTAGGGAAAATTAAGATAATAGAAACGATACTTATTACAATTTTGATTTTGACGTTCTTTAATATATTTTAACACTGTTCAACATAGTCTATTTTATTGGTATACGTTATATAAATGGTACGTGGTGCCACGGAACACTCGTTGCGAAATTCCGACTCGCACTTAGCCGATATTTTTGTGGAAATCTAAAAATGATTTTTTTAATGTAGTCCGTAATTTTACCTTTTATTAATAAAAAAGTACAATTTATTCACTTTTTATAGTAAAATATTAGTTGCTATTAAGTATATAGTAAGAGTAGTAAGTAGTATATAAGAAAATAACACTCTTATTTCAACAAAAAAAAATGATTATATTAAACACATCAGTAATATGATAATTATAATCGATATTATTGATTAAGTTTGTAAAATGAAGCGAAAATTTAATCAATTAAAATTAAGATAAAACTTGTTAAGCTCATCATAATTGACAAGTTTTAAAAATGACTTATGTTAAACTTGTATATTTTAAATACTAATGACACGCTGTATAGTAAATATTTAAATCTTTCTAAATATTTATAACGCTTTAATATCAGCCTTTACGCTGAAAATATTAGGCGAAATGATTGGACCAATTTCTATAAATGTAATAATGCCGCCTTATCACTAAATGATTTTTGCATCAGGCCAAAAATAATGTCCTACTACTACTAGATGTCCAAAAAAAATCTTTTCAATCGTTAAGGCGTGTTAGGATGAAACAACCAATAAACCGATTAATCCCTAAACTAATGTAAAATTAATAAAATTGAGAATTATAATTGAGAAAAATCTTTACAGGCATGATCTACTTGAGATCGCACTTGGACAAGTACTTGGCCGTGGATTCCTTCGGCAACGTCACCTGCGAGTCGGAGGAGAAGGAGCCGGGCAGCAAATTCCAAATCAGGTAAAAACAAATTACAGATGAAATAACTATTTCATTTATCTAATACTCGCAAATACTCCTTATAATTTTTTTACTTAAACTTAAATACAGTATTGAATAATTAATTATTAAGACATACGTACTCAAGTTTACATTACACGTATGTAGCTATAACTAGTTATGACTGGATGTGCCATGGCACGACATGCCATTTTTCCTGTATAATTTTCACTAGATATTTTAGTGCACGAGTAAGCATTTCATAACAAACACAGGTGAGCTATACTCTTTAATTTCCAAAGTCTGATTATAACAGAGATGAGACCGATATGCTTTTTGCTTTACACGAAGCCCATCCATCCTTATATGTTATTATTATTATGTTGGGTGTGGTGCCGAGGTCGGCCCTAGCTACGTCGACCAGTTTTGGTCCATTGTAGCTCCCTTTAATCCTTATATGTTACATGCCAAAAAGCTAATCACTTTCCTGATAATACTTAATAATAATATGCACGCAATTAAAAATATATTTACATTGTTTTTAATTAGAACCAGCCATCGCGTACAATTCATGGCGCCCAATGTGGGCTTGGTATTTCACAGAATACTCATTAATTTAATGTCATTCTAGAAATCTAGTTTATATTTTCATTATCATAATTGAAATTCCGTTGTTAATATATCATATATATATATGAAATTTAATAATTTAGACATGGACTGAAAATATAATTTACTTAAAAATAAATTACTTCTTTTTACTAAAAGTAACTAGCAATGGAAATAACATGTTACAAACTTACAAATGTAACATTGCAAATGTAAATCTCGTTATGAATGCAATGGCCGGCACAACTGTTGGACTCAATACAGTATAGGCATATTTTACAATTAAAACTGATTGCTAAGTAACAAAGCTGGCTTGCTTTTTGTAATACGTTGAATTTCTACAAACTTTTTTACAAATGGATATATAATTGATAAATGAATATTATGTTGATGAAATTTTTGTTAACTTTAAAAAATTGATTGATAAGTAATTTATTCATAATAACAGTGTATTGTACTCGTAAATCATCAAATATTGTTACAAAACTGTCACCATGTTATACGTTTCTTGCCAATTAATACATTTAATATAATTTAATTGTAGGTTTTATTTGCTTTGCTGTTTAATCCTTCTTAAATCGTTAAACAAATTAGAATGAAACTCGGTACATAACATTGATCATTTTTTTCCGTTATCCCAAAAATGAGTTCCTATTGTATAATGATTATGATTAATCGTAATCGACGATTATCATTGCGATTATATATTTATGACTTATATTTTTAGAGACATTAATGTACTTTTTAAATGCGCATAATGTACATTTTTTGTTCCTGTTTGTGTGTACTTATTGGAAAGAACCAACACAATATGCTCTTCTAAAAGAAATAGCAAAAAACTATTTTTCAATTAAACCATTGTCCGTAGCATCGGAGAGGTTATTTTCCACTGCTGGATTGATTCAAACTGAAAAACAGATTGACGCTCGACAAGCTTAAAATGTTATGTTTTCTGAACAAAAATTTAAAGTTCCTTAATTCTTCAGAAAATAATATTTAAATTAGTTTATAGAATGTTTTGTTAAGAAACAAAATTAATCGTAATCGATTATTAAGGGCAATAATCGTAATCGTGATCGATAAGTAATAATCGTTTCATCACTAATAATAATCATACAGAGCTGATGGCAATTATTATTTAAAAATATATATTTATTTATTATGATATTAAGGAATATAACAATAAGGAATATATACAGTAAATACATACGAGGAAAGACTAGAAACGATATATAACGTTATCGCTAACCCTTATATATCGCGTAAACTTCGCAACGCACGTGTCTCAGGATACATATAAATCTTGTGAAGCTCTCTCGAATACTAATCCCGGTGAGTCACCGGAAACTCGCGAAAGGAACTCCTTATTTTTCTTAATTTACGAGTCATTGTTGTTTTTTACCAAAAGCAAATTTCAGGGACATTAGTGAATTTTTGGCCGACTTCAAAAAAGAGGTATTTAAAAGTTCTATGATAGTTTATCTGAAATGTTAAACTAATTACGTTCAGTGTTCATTTTTGTTGTTGCAAAATTATTTTTCAAAAACCTTTCGAACCTGGATGTGTTGCTAGTAATATTAAATAAATATGTGATTTTTTTGATATTTTGATATTTATGTTCTATTAGTTTATGCCTGCAGCTTCTCTTTTGTGGGAGGTACGTTCATATAAAGTCATATGCCATTAACAATTTCACTCAAATCCGTTGCAAGGTGTAGAAGTAATATATAAACGAATTTTTGTATTTATTTATTACCATATCTTATACCATATATTTTATTTTATATTGGCTTACATCATAAATCTTTTATAGCCATAAATAATTGTATATATTTGTAAACAGACAGCAATCTTCTGTCATTCGATACTTGCAATTAGTAAATATTTTTGATTAATTACATAATTTGACACTTTGCGGCATAAACTAACCTATACGTTCTCTAATAATAATAATTAGTATGAAGATATAGCTAGCAAATATTGTTATCAACCGGTCTGATGATATGTACACTATTTATTGCTGCGTAGACAAAACAACAAACCGTAAGCAAAGTTGGCAACAAACCGAGACAGCTATGCTTCCTTTGTTACCAACACTCATCCGTTATCGATTGACGAAAACGTCCACAATAACAAGGCTTCACACTTCATAGGGATGAACGTGGGTTTTACTTTATTTATTTATAATTCTTATTGAAATAAAAATGAATTAAATATTAGCAAATACATGTGATTGCTACAAATACTTCATAAGAGTAATACTTTTTTAGATTTACGCAAAAAAAATTACTGTAAAATATTCGAAACGTCGGGAACCAAAAATCTAAGTTAAGTTTTATTTAATTCATAAGAGTTTATTATTTTACTTAAATATAAGTATGTAACTTTTTTATAATTTCATATCGACTCTTGCATGGATAGACATCATCGGAACAAAATAAAAAAAAACCCTTATTAAACCATTTATAAAATATTCACAATTTTATCATAAATTCACAACTGCTCCATATAAATATGTTGGGACATTAACACAAGCACCATATAGTTCCATGGTAAGCTACGAGGCTTGTGTTATGGATAACAGATTGTTGATACACTACACATATATAACTTTAAATACAGACACATTATAAAATATAAACCCAATATATAAAATCGATATAATAAATAAAAAAATCTAAAGTCGATTGTGGAGAGCCCTACTTGGTACAATCGATAGTCTGACTCACAGTGCCAGTGACAGCAGCGACAATTTCTAAGATAAACACGAGTAAACAGTGACTCACACTGAATCATCCCCGTAAAGTACAACTTTGTTTTTGATGCACTTTGATACTTTCTTATTGCGAAGTTTTTTGGTCTTTTGGGCCAATTTTACTCTTCTAGTTTTCGAAAATGTTAATATAATAATAATAATAAAAGTTTATTAGCAATAAGTTTTGACATTAAATTTACACTAAGCGCAAAATAAAGCTTATTACAATTTATGCTACTTACATCGGTTTGTCACTGCCGACTGTACTAGGCCGAGCCTGTATTACAGACGACAGACAGTTCCTTTCTCTATGATACAAAAGAATTATCACTAAATTATCATTAAACATTATCACTCATATTTTTAACAAAAAGCCACACAATAATAAAATGACATTACAAGGTCAGTTATACTTTAAACATTGATATTCTACATTATTAGTATTTTTTACAAGTACCGCCATAAATCATATGATGGGTTAATGACATATTCCATAGAAAAATTTTCAAACAACTTTATATAATACTGTGACCGTGCGTCTTTAGTGACTTTTTGACTGACTTTAAAATGGAAGCGGTACTCAATTCGGATCCATACTTTTTGTCGGTAACAGCCGATACAAATCAAAGCACACTGACTTCAAAAAGATCTCATTAGGTATGTATAGTAAATGAAAACTACCAATCAGTTATTTTTTACGTTTTAGTGTGTGTTTTTTTGAAGTTGGTTTTTTTAATAAATAGATTGTATTATATCCCAATGGATAGAGTAATTAAATTTAAAGTATTTTTTAAAGTTAGTACTACTTTTTGGTATTATATAAAGTTTTATTAAGTTTTTATAGCAAGTTTGCTATTTAAGAAGATCTCACTAACACATCTGAATGTGGTTAATTTTATCTTAATATATTTTGTATGGTAAGATTAGCAAGATTTTTGTATAGTATAACAATTTCGTCATGCTGTAAAATACAATTCTCGTTTCTCATATCAGATCCTTTGAAGATTTATATTTCAACCAAATAAACATCAAGGCTTATAAATTGTGTACTGTCGTTTTCATTAGGAATGTTAATCGATATTCGTTTCCCCTTTACGTTTACAAAAACACGTTCACAAACAGCTATCTAACGATGCCATCATGTACAGGAGTTCTTGTGTTAATTCATTACGTTTAATCTAAAATTGCAGACAAAAAATTAAATGTATTTCTGGCTTACAAATGGCATGCTAACCTTCTAAAAACAAAACTTCCCTGCTAGAAAGGGGAAAAATGTTTGTATTCGACAGTGAACTCAATAATCTTGAGATTTAAGCAGGATTTTGTGTAAACTCCTAACATTGGTCAACATTTTGAAAACAGACCTACAACCTTGTTATAGGGTAAAATATGTCTAATAGGGTTCTAAGGGGTTCCATTGTAAATTTTAATGAGCGCGTGCCAAAAAGGTCATTGGATTATGAGGGAAACCCTAAAGGGGAAGAAGTGTTTAGAAATATAATTGCTTATTTGCCTTAAGGGTTTGGCAGCTTAATTTAAATTAATCATAATTTATAAGGATTCATATTTTAATGAAAGGATGATCATAATTATTATTCTATACATATAATAAACTCGTAACTAAGCCGAATCTGTACATTAAATATTTTTTGGAAAATCTTATTGAAATAAACATTATAATAATGTTTATTATCGATAAAGAGGTCGATTTTTTAATGTTTAGAATTTTTGTGTCTGTCTGTTACCGCATCACAGAAAAACCACTAGAGGGATTTTGATGAAATTTAGTATGGTGATAGCTGGTTATCCGGGTTAACATATAGAATAATTTTTACCGCGGGAAAATATCTTTTTTCTGAGAAAAAATACAAAAACTACAATGTAAGAGTACTTAAACTAATATGTAAAACCTGAGAATTTGATCTTTAATTCTGAATCTTTAATTTTGAATTTAATCTTTTGGTCTTCTGAACGCGGGCGAAGCCGCGGGCAATGCTAGTAAAATATTAATTGGAGGTAGCTGAATTAACACAGGCTACGTTTTACCGATACAGTTGTTACCTACTTACTATGGCCGTGTGAACGAAAACTAGAACAAATTTTTAAGCTTGTCAAAAATCTAATACTTTCTTTGGTTTATGGGAATATTTTATATTGTAATAAGAATATTATCATGCAATTATTTGATTCCCGATTTTTTTTATCCCTGACATTTCTTAGTCTCTTCCGTGAACATTTTTGTTGAAAAACAACGTAAAGTTGGTACATAAAAAAATCTTAATAAAACGCGAAAATATCTATAAAAATAATTTACTTACATTGTCAAATATAGCGTAATTTTATAAAATCTAAGTACGTGTCTAGTAACTAAAAATTCTACAGTCAATAATTGAACTTATGACCTATCTCAGTAAGTTTAGTAATTAGTTCGCGACTATTGTTATCAACCTAAGCGTTTAACATATATTATAACTGCATACAATTCAGTGTCGTAATACTCGAGAAATCGCATTGCATTCACAGTTATTTGAAAGTTTTGAACATTTCTGATAAATCATTCAAAGTGAAACCGGGTCTAATGACTAGCGGAATATTTATATTTAGTTCAGTCGATACGTTATTTTGAGTTAGTTTATTCATCCGTTAGAGCAAATAATGCTTTGTCATTATCTATACTTATAATAAAATTCTAACTAATCATTCTATTTTTTTTTTGGAAAATTTTATTGAAGTAGTCATTATTATCGATACAGAGGCCGAATCTATAGTTTTTAAAAATTTTATCTGTCTATCTGTCGGGGGACGCATCACGAGAAAACCGCTGGACAGATTTTGATAAAGTTTGGTACGATTATAGCTGGTTATGCAGGTCAACTTATATGATACTTTTTACTGCGAGAAAATATCTCATCTCTGAGAAATCTATACTAAACCTTAAAACGTAATTAGGGATGAACCCGAGCGGAGCGAGGGTGAGTCGCTAGTTATTATATAAACTAGTGATAGAAATTCGACCATAATCAGTTTTATTACTGATAACATTAAAGCTCATCAAAGGTACTAAAAAAATCTAAAATCGATTGACAAACAGAGGAGAAAAAGGTAGTTTTTTTTTGTCTTTGCTTATTGATATATAGATAGGTACTTCTGATTTTACAATAGTTTATTTTCTAACTTTCGTTACATATACGTCATTATATTTTTGTCAAACTATATTAAAACTGGCAATAAAAAAAGTTTGTTCCTCGCATTGCCATAGCATTCATTACTTTAACTCGTCTAGTCTTTGAACACGAGAAACTTCATATCCTTTTCCGTTGCAGTCTCAAACATACAAACATATAATAAACATACCACTGTCGGGACCTCATATAAGACTAAGTAGAAAAGAGAACCCCATCGATTTTCCTTTCATCTCGATGTTGTCTCAAACCCTTCAGCGACGCCCCGCGTTCTAATTAGCCCGAGCGTCATTGTGATGAGTGTTTGCCTTCTCTTCCGTTACGTTACTTACATATTTGTGGCTTTGAGCTTTGACTTTCGCCTTTTCGTCTGATCCCTGATTGACAGTTTGTATGATTAGTGCGAGGGATAGGCTTATGTAACATGCAATTTCCCATGATTGAAAACTAGTATTAGTTTTTTTGTACTCGGTAAATAAAATCGCTCCACAGACGGTTTTCGTTTTTCTATGGCGTTTTAAATGTGGGGTGACTCCCCTACGCTGTGTTTAAAATCAAGGTAAATGTGTTTGACAAATACAAACCTGTGTACCTTATTATTTATTTATTAACTAGCGACTCACCCTCGCTCCGCTTGGGTTCGTCTCTAGTTACGTTAATCGTTTAGTATAGATTTCTCAGAGATGAGATGTTTTCCCGCAGCAAAAATCCTGTATGTTGACCCAAATAATCAGCTATCACCATACAAAATTTCATCAAAATTTGTCCATTGGTTTTCTCGTCATGTGTTTCTAAACAGACAGACAAACAAAAATTCTAAAAACTATAGATTCGGCCTCTGCATCGATAATAATGACTATTTCAATAAGTTTTTTTTTGTTAAATATTGAATGTTCAGATTCGATTCAGTTAAAATGTTATTATAAGTATAAATAAATCATGTCAGTGTCAACATCTAAGTCGCAATAAATTTAAAAAGAGCTTAGGTATAAGTAAGAAATATTACCTTCGATACTCATCATAACTCACACATATATCTTTATACATAGTATAAAATGAAGTCGCTTCCGCTGTCTGTTCGCTTAGATCTTTTAAACTACTCAATGGATTTTAATGCAGTTTTCAGCAATAAATAGAGTGATTCAAGAGGAAGGTTTATATGTTTAATACATGCATATTATAGTACAGAAAAGCCGAGAAATTCAAAGATTTGTATTTCATACTTACTGTTAAAATGTAGCTAGGAGAAACCCAAGCGAAGCAAGGGTGAGTCGCTAGTAATTCGAATATAACCTATTATACCTAGTTCCATTTGGTAGTTTTTGAAATCCTAGAGCTATTATAGTTTATCTATTTACCAAAGTCCATCCAAAATTGTTTAGCCGCTTAAGCTCGAAGGAGTAACAGACATACATATAAACATTCGCAATTGTTACAGTAGCCCGATTTCTAACTTTTAATTAATATCTTGTGTTGTATACGTAGTGTTTCCGAAGACGGCTCTGGTCGCTGGGCGCTGCGCAACGTGGAACGCGGCTACTTCTTGGGCTCCAGCTCGGACAAGCTGACCTGCACCGCCAAAGTGCCCGGCGATGCTGAGCTCTGGCACGTACACCTCGCTGCCAGGCCACAGGTACACATATTTAAAGTATATAATATACTATAGATTTCTCGCGACTTTTGCCGTTTTGAAATAATACTTCTTAAGATTTACGAGTCCTTTGAAACGAACTAACGAGCTATGAACTTTTGAGATGTCAAAACTCCTGTTGATTATGTTTGCTATAAAGCATTAGACGTCGGGGACCAAAACGCATAATAATTAATAAAATCGTGAGAAGTCCAAAAAAGTAGACGACAAAGTAGTCTTAACTAGCCGAATACCTATAATAAATAAGCAATAATACCACACAATTCAATTGTCAGTTATTAACAATCTCGGTGTGACTTAGCGCAGCCTGTCACAGCATGTCTGCTTAAACATGGAATCCCATCTCAGCTGCATCCACTGACGATCTTCATTTCCGAGAGGAAATTGCTATCGTCTTGGAAATAAACGACTTGATACATTTTAAATCTATTTATGCGCTTTCTTCAAGGTTTTAGATTGTAAATATTTGGTAAAAATTAAATGACAAAGCAATTAATATTTCTCATTGAAAGAATTGGTGTTGTGTTTTTAATAAATATTGGTTTTCTGAATAAATATAACACTTTCTTAGTTGTAAGTTATAACTTTCGTGAACCAAAGGAAAATCGCGCATAAAGAGCAACATTATCTTTGCTATTGAACTGTTAAAATTTTTTAATCTACTTGGCGCGTACAATGTACATAGTTCTTCTCATTCATTCATTTACCTTACTTCATTCATTCACTCACTAATGAAGATATATGTTAGGTGAACCTTCGTTCAATCGGTCGCAAGCGGTTCGCCCACCTGTCCGAGACCCTGGATGAAATCCACGTTGACGCCAACGTACCGTGGGGGGAGGACACGCTCTTCACCCTCGAGTTCAGGGCTGATGAGGGCGGAAAGTACGCTCTGCACACCTGCAACAATAAGTACTTGAGCGCTGGTGGTAAGGTGAGTTATTTAATTATTTAATTTATGTAACCAATTCAATTCAATTCTCTTGTCATTAAGGTTTCAAAGCGTGTCAGTTGAGCACAGATTACTTCGCCAATGTCACATAGAATAAGAAGGCATGCAGTTCTTAATACTTAAACTTCTTTATTTGATCTTTATAAACTTTCATATATCTTCTTTCACATATCTACGGTAACAATATGTACAACAATATTGTAGATATTTAAAGCCAATAATAATGAAAATTATGTACGTTTTGCTTTTATTTTTCCTCCGACCACTATTTTGATATTTTTTTTATTAGTGTTATTTAATTTTGTTTCTACTGTTTCTTACATCTTTTAATGGTCATGTCATGGCAACTGTTTTATATCGGACAAATGTTTTAAACAGACTTTTTACGTATTATATCGTAAAAATTTCTAAATTACAACATACACTTATAATATGGAGGGTACTTGTTATATTTGGCTATAAAATGTTGTGTTGAAGGTAATGCCCACGCCATTATGTAGAGTAAAAGTTACGACCTCATACTTACAAAGGGCCCATAAACTATAAACTTTTTATTGCATACAGGCAAATGAAACTGACTAGCTCACGCATCTACCAGTTAGTATTTTGTTTACTACAATTTACACGAATAACGTCTGTTAAGATTGATTTTAGGGTTCCGTACCTCAAAAAGAAGGAAGGGAAACCCTTATAGGATCACTTTGTTGTTCGATCTGTCTGTCAAGATCCTATTTCTCGTGAATGCGTGGAGGTATTAAGATGAATTAATATATAATACTCAAGTCTGCAATCCCATAGAGCTGTAAAAAACATCATACTTCTAAGTCAATACAATCAAAAGATACGGCCGTTTATGCCGCATATTTTGACAATCGCCAGGGAATCAAAGCTATAGGGTACTTTCCGTTGAATTAGAATCATAAAATTTGGCAAGAAGCAATGTATTATCGAACAAGTAAACGAAAAAAACTGTAAGTTGTTACATTACAACAAAAAAAAAATTTGTGAGTAACTTATTTTATTTCATGCTACGGAACCCTTGATGTGCTAGCCAGACTTTTGTACATGTCCGTTTTTTTTGTTTAAATTTCTTAGAATTTAATATTATGTATAATGTACTCAGAGAACGTATCTAATTTAAATGTCACATATATAATTATAAATTCGTGTGAAGGGCAAGTCGCACTCTAATAAGCAAGAGACAATCACTTTGCTTTGGTATGCAAAAACTTAATTTGTACCAGCTATATAAATGCTGTATTACAGTTAAAATGGCGAGTTGAGTTAACGACCTAAAGCAATCTTCACATACATTAATGTATAATTGACTGGCTACTTCCTGTGACTTCGCCCGCGAAATTGTATTTCTAATTGAACTATTACTTATTAAGAAACGTATTATAATACAATTACATAGGTTTTTTTTAATATCAGTATAAAAGTCGTGTCATAAAACATATCACAAAAACATAATATGATATCATATCCAATAATAGATATTGACAGTCATTATTTTTTAAAAATGCAAGCTCAATTAAAAAAAATGTGTATGTGTACTTATGTACGCACGTTATACTTCTTTGGCGTAACAGAACAAAAATAGCTAAAGATTTCATCCCGTGTGTCACAACTCTCTGTTTGTAAAAGGAATATAGCTAACTTCATCATGTAGCTTTCAGCTAACTTCATCATGTGCTTTTTGGCTGTCGGTGTGTGCGCGTATCCCAAAAAAAAATTAGTCTTATAATTATTTCTAATCGCGCCAAAAGAAGTATAACTTCAAAAACAAAAAAAAAGTTTCTTTTTTTATAGAAAATGTTTTAACTCTACCCGATTTTTGCAAATAAAGTCTTTGCTTTCCAATCTGATTATATTCTAAACTAAAAAGGTTTAATCCAAAATGCTATACAAAATGCGATGGGGTTTATATTGAATTTCAAGAAACATCTAGGTACCATTATATTCCACCCGCCACTACAGTGTCGCTGGACGGGACAATGGCGCGCGGCCGACATCGGCATGACAATCGCGTAGCGAACGTTTGCACACAATACCCCTAGATAGGTTTAGAAATGGTGTACGCTATATCTATATACATACATATGTATATTGTACCTATCTACTGAATAATTTACCATAGAATGGGTAAAATTGAAATATCAAAAGAAAATAATGAAGTTTTAGTCCTTAGGGACAGCTTTTATTTAAAAACTTAAAGCTTAAGCCTGTATTAAAACAATTTAAATAACATATTATGTTTTTCTACATGTTATATCAATTTTCACGAAAGGTTTTAACAGATTATTTTTTAATTACTATTAAAAATAATAGTTAAAACATATTATTGGTGGTATTTACTTGAATTTAAAAAGGCACAGCCATACAATGCCTTCTAAAATTTAACTACTCTAAGGTCTCCATACAAAGAGCCTATTATTACTGGGTGTTCGTGGGAAATGGGTAACATATCGATATATGTATGTCGCATCGTCTGAAGGGAAGTGCCGCTAATATAGACAAGGCGTTGTGCCGTGTTGTTGACATCTGCATTGAAAGCTCTTATGAATACTGTATTAATATTCAGTTTATCTTTTAATATCGATATATGGATATATACTAGCGATTTGTTAGACTTTGCCCGGTCTTTTGATTAAGTTAATAGTCCCTGAAGATATTTAGAATTTTGAAAATAAGTGCTTTGTTTAATATTTGAGACCCGAAGATATTTGTTTATTTCTACCTTTTAAGGGATAAAGGTTTAAGAGACTATCTTCTTGTGACCTCTAAAATTATATATATACAGGAATCACATATTACATATTATGTATATACGAGTAGTTAGTTTACTTATTACATAAATAAATAAATAAATGTCATACAATCCCGGCAGCTCTTCGACACGTGCACATCAGAGTGCCTCTTCAGTGCAGAGTACCACGCGGGAGCCCTAGCGCTCCGAGACAGCTCTGGTGCCTACTTGGCGCCCATAGGATCGAAAGCAGTGTTGAAGACCAGGTCCACAGCCGTCACTCGCGATGAACTCTTCTCTCTAGAAGACAGCCTGCCCCAAGCCGCTTTTGTAGCTGGATTGAATGAGAAATACGTCTCTGTAAAACAAGGTTAGTACTTTTGTGGAGTATTGTAATGATTTTTTTAAATTTCTAGGGATTTTTTTAGGTAAACTGGTAAGGGTGATCCCTTGAGATGTTTATGTTTATCTCGCTTTTTTAAAGGTAAACTATATAGTTTTGTTGTATAGATGCTATCTTATAAAACAAATAGTACAAGCAATTGTCAGACGATTAATGAGCATTGAGCATAGTAATGAACTCAATACGTATTTTAAAATGTAATGAATTATATGGATTAGCTTATACGAGTACATATTATATGTATGTATATTGTATATTTATATCTATAAATATTATAAAATTCTGAGTCAAATCTGTACATTAAATATTTTTTGTAAAATCTTATTCAAATAGACATTATTATTGATATAGAGACCAAATCTATAGTTTTTAGAATTCTTGTCTGTCTGTGGGAACGCATCACAAGAAAACCGCTGGACACATTTCGATAAAATTTGGTATAATGATAGCTAGTTATCCGGGTCAACATATAAGATGCTTTATACTACGGGAAAATATCTCATCTCTGAGAAATCGAAACATATAAACGTCAAAGTATAAGTCGTAAATAGTAGTCCTTGAGATTTCCACAATAGTGTTTGAATTTTGCTTAAATAAAATGTAAAAATAGAAACCAGCTCTAAATAACATACGTCCACAGAAAATGGCATATAATTAAGGAGTGATAGGTACCTTTTGTTCACTCCCGGCGCAATAAAGCAAGACGATTGTGAGGAGTGCATCCGTCGTGTTGCACTTAACTGCAATTTGATCTCAGGCACTGGAAAGGCTTATGTTTGGAATTGAACTATTTAATTTATATTTAAAAAAATACTATATCTTTTTGATTTTGATACTTAAAATCCTGTCTGTACCTCGATGGTTTGAAAGTATGATTAGTCTATTTATTATTTATCATAGCCTAGTTTTGACACAGTTTTATCATAATACTTTTTTACATATAAGTGAATATTTCGCATGTTAAATAAAACTATCCTTTCCGATTTTTTCGCGGATTTATTTTAAAACGTCAAGAACTAAACATCAAAATAAACGCAAACATCCAAAAATATAGTTTTATCCTACTTTTAAATACTACAAAAAAAGCTATCTGAGAGAAATTTATCAATTTTAATTTTCAAATACAATAATTTGCCTGCTATTAAATGCACAATAACTCGCTTTGTGCTGTCTGAAGTCTGAGCCGCACAGTAATTACGGCGCAATAAAGCAAGACAATTGAGAGGCGCGCTTCCGACGGGTTCACTTAATTGCGATTTGATCGCGTGGTCTAGTAAAAGGCTGACTGCACACTTGACGTTTTTATATCTATATAATTATATATATATTAATCGAAATGATATGTCAGTTTGTATACCTCTTGTGACTTTTTTTAATACAGTTTCATATTTCTTTTTATCCAGTTATGTTTTTTTAGAAGAATGATGTTTGATTAGTCAATATTAATATGATGAGATTTTAAACAGTAAAGATAGATCTTGTTATGTAGATATATAACAGGTAATTTTACATATTATGGGTATGCTTGCATGTATGTGTGTATGTCAGAGACTAGCAGGCATTGTACATAGAAAAAGCAAAGTGGCAGCTAAGATTTTGCTATTTTAAAAATATAAACAAGTCTTTTTTAACTTTGTACGACCAGATTTTTCTTTTTCATATTTAACTTTTTTAATGTTGGGGAATGCATTTACGCACCGTACCTGTATGTATATATACAGGTGGTTATGTGGAACTCACCGGCTAACATAAATCATTATTACCCACTAAAACCCAACAGAACCTCCCAATCTTCATGGGGCGTCGAAGCATCGCTTACGAACTTAACCACGACGCCTCGACAGCAGGTAATCCGAAGGTAGTGCCGAAGCAAACCACAACAACCATGAGGTTGCTCCCACGGTCCACTCTGCTGTCAGAGAAGTACCAGGAGCAATCTGAATAATACAAAGCCCACCGAAGTGAGCCACCTCCCAGTAGTGTTATTTAAGATTATTTCAATACCTTTATGTTCAACTCGTATGTTAACAAGTACTGAGATATGATACATCTCAGTTTGCTATCATTGTCCACAAATTCTGACCATCCATTATAGCAATATCTATAAAAATATTACTTAATATATAAATCTAGAACACATCCATTATTGTCCTCCTAAATAAGATTACTTACACTGAATCTCCGAATTAAACTTAATTTACGCTATAATTCTGTTTTAATTAGAGTCTCACTCCCGGTCCCGGGTGCTTCTTGTAATTACAATGCAATAAAGCGAAACGATCGAGACACGACGGGTTAAACTTACGTCAGTTGCAACTACAACTGAGGACATTTATAAACTAAGCGTTTATTTTTAATGCAAGTTAAGAATAACTATATTTAATGCGAATTTCGAAAAAAAATAAGGGGAAGAGTATGGGAACTCAATTTTTTTTTCTTGTAATGCTAGGTTAGGATAAAGTGAAAAAACACAAGTTATATCATTACGGTTAACATTTACGGTTTATTTATTATTCTCATATTAAATATTGTTGTCGTAATAATAATAAATATTTATATTTTTTATTAATATTATAAAAGAAAAGGGTATTCGTTTAAAGCAAATTTTTATCTTGAAACAAGAAGTAGATTTTGTGTAAATATTACTTTTATAGTACAAAAGATGTGTAATGGAAGTCGACAAATAGATTCATTCCTAAAAAATAAATTAGTTCTAGCAAGTGAAATAATTGGTATAGATTTCGTTTCTTGGAATTAAGTTTCAAGCTCAGACAGACCGAGGTTACTAACCTTTAGACAATAAAACGAGTTTAGTGTGTAATCAGCCTAAAACCGCAAGAATTTCCGTCTGCATCCATTGTAAAAACACATCCACGGGAGCACTCATCTTTGACTACTACACTATATATGGTAGATTACTACATTATTGTTTGTTAATTACATACATATGTTTACATTAAAACCTGCAATTGATAATCTGTTATACTCGTAGGTACATGGATATAAAAAAATTTTTCATATATCATATATGTACTTATATATTTTTCCCAAGGAGGGTTGACGTCAGGCAGGCGGCCGGTCGTAAAACTTTTGCCAAATCCTATCAGCAGTACAGAAGATGTACTGCGTCGACCCCAAGAGATTGGGAAATGGGCAGGGAGAAGAAGAAGAAGATATATGTATATATTTTTTATGATTGCTATTAAAGTTTTTTATTTTATTTTTGCGCTTAATCAACTCTCTGTCCTCCTTATTATCATAATTTGTTGCCAAATCCTACTAATATTATAAATGCGAAAGTTTGTGAGGATGTATGGATATCTGGATGTATAGATGTATGGATGTTTGTTACTCTTTCGTGCAAAAACTACTGAACGGATTTTAATGAAACTTTACAATAATATAGTTCATACATCAGAATAACACATGGGTACATGGACTCCTTTTATCCCGGAAAAATGTATGATACCCGTGGGATAGAGTTGTTTTTGTTTGTCTAGTTACCAATAAATTTATTCGTACATTACATAACTTGTCTACGTAGCTTCTATGTACTTTGTACATACATATATTATTGTATGTATACCTTTTATATCTTATAACATCAAAACCAATCTCCAACTGCATATAAAATCTTATAAAAGCGAGCATGAAATATGCATCGCCGTCGCTGCAGTTCCGGCGTTCACAGAAATCCATTGTTCCTCCATGGGTACAGTCCACCCCGCATAAACCGCTTAGGGCCAAAGAAATAAAATCTCTTTTGTATACTTGTGCTGCCCTATGTACTCACTCATTGTTCCATTAAGATTCTCAGCCTGCTTTGCCAACAATGACTATACAAGGCTGTGATTGACAGACTCTGTAATTAAACTTAGATATATTTAATTCAATAGCGATCGCTATACCCAAGTATGGGAGGAGAACGATTCAATGTCTCAAACGCTGTATTTGTTCAGAAAATGTCATTATGTAAATTGATAGCTGGTTTTTTTACATTATTAAAGTCTTGTTTTAAATATTCATGAAATGAAAATGGCATGGTGTCTCGTAAATTAACCTTAAGTTCTAGGTTAGACATAATATAAGTTAAGTCCAATAAGCACCAACACAGTTTGCATATAAAGAGAGTAAAATATCTTGAGAAACACTGATTTGATACTCTGTCTTTTTTCGATATTAATTTTTTGGCTGACATTATAAAAAATATCATTAATACTTATATTTAATGTACTTACACTATAAAAATAGTAATTTCCCAAAATAGCCAAAAGCTATAACATTTCTACTCGTTTTAAAAAAAAATAATTGTCCCAAACAAAACTATTTTAAACATTTTTATAATGCATGTATCAAAATACGTTCTTATTATGCCACGATTTATAATAATAATAGGGAAAATTGCATCAAAAACACACAAAGCTTTTTAAATACAACTACATTTTTATTCTCATTACTGCGTTATTTACACAAGCACACCGTAAAAGCACCTTTAAAATAAATGTAAAATATTCTATAGAACCCATAGAAACTTATTTCGTAATCTAGACGGTAATCACTGCTTTGTACTGAATATTTTTTTTATCGTAGTGTTAATTAAGGATCTGCTGTTTTTTAAATTTTTGCATACTCTAGCTTTTAAATATGAGCTTTAAGCTTTAATATGTCTTGTAATGGATGCTATCACTCTTCACAATAATTACTGAGTCAATTTTAAATTATACAGATGAATTGTAAAATTGTTTGTAAAAATCTAGTTGAATAAAGTATTTATAGTTTGATTTAAGCGTTTAAACGCTTATCTACGGCTGAAATGTAAATTTCGATAGAATAATCTAGAATCATTCGCACTATTCTGTAAGAACTTTCATGTATTTTTATAGATGAATTCGTGGTCATACTTCGTGTAATTCTTATAAAGTATAATCGCGGATTCAGCTGTCGAATAATATACAAATCCTCACCGGTGCAGTTGTACTTAGTATAAATCTTCCTAAAAAGGTATTAATTAATACACAGCTCTATATATACACAAGAAAATATTAATAAATAAATAATATATGTTGGGACATTAACACACAGCACCATCTAGTTCCATGGTAAGCTACGAGGCTTGTGTTATGGATACCAGACAGTTGATACACTACACATATAACTTTAAAAACATACATATTATAAATATAAACACCCATGACTGAGTACAAACATTCGTGCTCATCACACAAATGAATGCCCCCAGCGGGACTCGAACCTGCGACCGCTGGCACAGCAAGTAGGATCACTACAAACTGAGCCAAACGTGTCGTCTAAGTTGTCAAGTACTTATAATTTTTATGCGATAACATAATATAGTAACAAACTTTTCATACATAGGTACAACAGAAAATTTATTCATTTACTCACAAGAAAGCCTAAGAAAAGGCTCGCTCATAAAATTTGCTCAGAATATTACGTGCATTATTTACAAAGTCGGGCCGCACTTGCGTCGTCACGTACTCGCCTACAGTCACGACTCCAACACGGTCGACAAGGAACAGGGGGCCTTAAGGCTAAATGTCGATGTACCTGCAATAATAAACAATCGATTGTATGCATTGCTCTCATTTTGGCAAGCCTCGTGTGTTGCGAGTGCATAGCAAGTTGTTAGCCTTGTTCGAGACGTGCAGTGCTTATAAGTTTATTTATTAATTTATTAAACTACCAACAAAAGCTACAATATTATAATACTCAAACTTAGGCTACATATAATTTATCATGATAATTGCACTTTTAATTATTGGTAGTTACATCTTGCTGCTTCTACAGGCATTTGTATTAATTGTAGTTATAACTAACGAAGAAGAAACAGATTTTTTATACTCGCGGCTTTGCACGCGTAGTTCCAATATGTATTACTGTATCTTTAAAAATTACAGCCTATATGTTATTCTGATGTATAAGCTATATTAATGTTTAGTTTCATCAAGATCCGTTTAGTAGATTTTGGCGTCACAGAGTAACAAACATCCATCCTTCTAAACTTTCGCGTGTATAATATTAGTAGGCCATAGGATTTGCCTGTGCTTTTATGTGAGTTTTTATTTTCTAATATCCAGTAAAATTATAGCATATTTTTTTGTGCTAAGAATTATCAAAATATAGAGGACTAATTGATATTGATGAGTTTTCTCCTTCTCTACTCCAAATACATATTTATATTTACTTTTAGGATTGTAGATTAGCCTCATACGATTACAGGTTATGCCCTTCAAATGGTAGTGCCCTAGGCAGGACAGGTCACACTTACCCAAGATTAAAATTTTTTCAAGGGCGGCTAATAATTATTTTCAACCAAAGTAGAATAATTCATATCGTATAACATGGAGTAATCACGCTTCGTCGTGACATTGCTGTGTAGAAAAAGTAATAAACACTCGCTAAATAGCGTTTCAACACGTCTGTAATAAATACAATATTAACACTTCATGTGTCACTTCAAGTCTTTACTTCTTTAGAAAAAGAGTCAATTTTCTTTTGACATATGTATTCTATACATATAATAAAATTCTAACTGAGTCAAATCTGTACATTAAATATTTTTTGGAAAATCTTATTGAAATAGACATTATTATCGATACATAGGCCGAATCTATAGTTTTTAGAATTTTTGTCTGTCTGTCTGTCTGTTACCGCATCACAGAAAAACTACTGGACGGATTTTGATGAAATTTGGTATGGTTATAGCTGACTCTGGTCAACATATACTTTTTACGGCGGAAAAATATCTCATTTCTGAGAAAAAATACAAAAACTGCAATGTAAGAGTATACTAATATGTAAAACCTAAGAATTTGGTTTTTGGTCATCTGAACGCGGGCGGAGCCGCGGGCAATGCTAGTAAACTAATAAGTGTTGAAATTTATATGACATGCTTGAATTAAAAATATGTGTAATCGTACTGTTATGTTTTAGCTCAAAATCAAAAATCTTTTACGGAATTCAATAAGATTCTTACGAGCACTTTTGAATGGTCAATTTTTACATAATACCTTGATCAACGATCGTGTCTAATAAAAAAAAGAGTGGTTAATGGTCATACGTAAAAATAGGAATCGAACCTACTACTAATGTAAAGCAATCAAGTACAAATGCTCACTCACAACGTCCGCTATCACACCGCTGGAATTCTCCGATCTCGTTGCAGTTATTCCGAACAAAAAATATCTATTGTAAGACGTAGACGTGCTTTCTAGTTTCTCTGCACGGATGCCTGCACTTGCCCGATTGAAGCACGACACTTTGACTGTGATAAAACGAGTTTTCCGGTAATTAAACTGGCCTTAATAACTTTAATCAAATAATTGGATATGTGAATTCAAAAAAATTGTTAAAGAACGTTTGTGTGCTAAAGGCTTTTATACAATAAATGATTTTATAGAAGATGGCACACCTTGGGAATGAAATGGTCGCCTCAAGGCTACTTCAAATTGATAGAAATGTTGTAAATTATAATTTAACTTTATAAAAAAAAAGATAATGAAATAATATTAGTCCCGCAGAGTTTCTTTTGCCAGTTCTTCTCAGGTCTGAGGCTTCTTCTTTCCGAACTGGTAGTAGACTCATGATGTTCAGAAAAAAAATGTAATAATTTAATGCTGAATAAAATATTTTGATTTGATTTGTGTTCAAAATGCATTGGATTTTGCTTAGCTTTTTGAGACGTGTTAAATTACATTGGATTACCAATCGGCACTACGTAGTTGATTTTGTTAATAATTAATTAACAATGTATATTTTTAACATGTTAACAAGCATTTAGTTTGCTATCTGCTTTAAACCCAAATGTGTCATCATTTGTCATATGATGGTCGTAATGCTTAGAATAATTGTCAATATTATTATTTTTGTAATTTTCCTTAATACTTCAATAAACGTACCTACACACGGCTGTTTTTATACCTTATTCGAATTGTTCTTCGAAATATAATCGAGTTTACAAGTTTATTTTATAACACAATACAATAAAAAATAAAATAATTTTAATATTAGTTTCCTCGAAAGATGTGATTTTTTCTAAAAATGAAAAATCTTACGGCTAATGGCTTACCTATAAAAACCGTGTAATACAATATTTGATCTATTAGTTCCATGTTAGGTTGTGCCGCGATTGTAATCCTCTTTCATAAGTTATTTCAATCTTAATATTTTAGTGACAATAATTATTTTTTACCAATATCCTGAGGACATAGTATGTGTATTCAGCCCTTTTTAACGTCTCACTGCTGGAGGGATCAGACCATAGTCCACCACGCTGGTCAAGTGCGGGTTAGCGGACTTCACATGTCTTTCAAAAACTTACTAAATTCTGTCAGACATGCAGGTTTCCTCGCGATGTTTTCCTTCACCGTTAGACAAATGGTAATCATGTTGGAAATGATTCGCACATGAAAAAATCAGAGGTACGAGACCCGGGATTTGAACCCGCTTCACTCGGTTTCCCAAGCGAGGATGTTACCACTGGGCTACCACTGCCTTCAAAAAAGTACAGTTACCGTAATAGAAGTTACGGGACTTAAATAAAGGCACGTTTAGCTCTTGTAAATGCCTTCCTGTCGTGTTTGCAGATGACTCGCCTCGTCTCTCGAGTGTCGATCGTGATAAGACGCTTGTGTATATAAAAATTTAATCACTTAATAGTTTATAAAGCTATAATTTTCTACATAAATATTTATATTGTTTATGTGCCAATAGTAATTAATAATACATTACACAATATTAATTAATTATAGTTTATTTATTTAAATACTTATTTCCACACTTCTTTAACTGTATCTATAAATATAATAAAATAGTAACAAAACGAAATCTGTACATGAAATATTCTTTAAAAACAATGACTGTAACATATTGTGTACAGAATATAGACAACAAATCAATTGTATTGAATTTTTTTTCTGTATCTCTATTTGTCTGTGTATCTGTATGCATTTGACGTAAAAAGCGCTGAACCCATTTTAACTACATTTTGTGTAATGAGTTATAACTCGGTTCATCACTTTGTACCCTTTATTACAATTTGAAGATTGTATATTCTTTATAGTAATATTAAGGTACGAGTAAAATCACCAAACATAACATATACTTTTACTTCCAGGTGTAGACGTAACAGCAAACCAGGACGAGATCTCGTCCCATGAGACCTTCCAGCTGGAGTTCGACTGGGGCACGCGCCGCTGGTACATACGCACCATGCAGGACCGCTACTGGACCTTGGAGACTGGGGGAGGCATCCAGGCCAGTGGGGATAACAAGTGAGTGATCTCATCTCTTAGATATTGGATAGAAAGTCAGAGGTGCGAGCTGCGATAGCAGTTTCGTAAACAACATACAATATTTCCGTTCCGATTTTATCAATATACGACTTATAATGTTGAGTTGGTTTTAAACCCCGAATGAATGAAGTTTTAAAATTCGTTTTGTTTATAGTAAAACTTTGTCAGGAACAAAATTCAGCCGAATTCTGAAGTCGGATATTTTAAAGTCGGTTGAAAAGAAACGATGTTGATTAAATATAATTGAAATTTTTACATGTTTTAACACTAACGTAAAAATCGAATCATGCTAATAAGTATGACAATGGTACATTTTATTTTAAGGAAAATTAATATAATAAGTAATTTTTGTAAACTGTAAAAGAATTACACCATAATTTTTATGGGAATAGCGATCAATGCCGCTAACATGAAAAGTTCTATTGTATGTATTCAGCCCTTTTTAACGTCCCAATGCTGGGTACAGGCCTTCCTTCAGTACGAGGAAGATCAGGCCATAGTCCACCACACTGAATAAGTGTTGATTGGCGGACTTCACATGTGTTTTGAAAACTTGCTATGTTCTCTCAGGCCTGCAGGTTTCCTCACGTTGTTCTCCTGTGTTAAACAAACCTAAACACATAACTCACGATTGTCAAGATCCAAATAATTTAAGAAATAATCTAGATAATTATAATGACATTTGCTTGCAGGTCGTCAAACGCTCTGTTCGAGCTGGACTGGCAGGGCGACGGCGCCGTGGCCTTCCGCGCCAACAACGGCAAGTACCTCATGACCAAGCGCTCGGGACACCTGTACGCCAACTCCGACACCATCGACGACAACTGCAAATATTACTTCTATCTCATTAACAGGTTGGTGATAGTTAGCTATCTCATCATGTAAATAAATAATAAATATGTTAGGACATTAACACACAGCACCATCTAGTTCTATTGTAAGCTACGAGGCTTGTGTTATGGATACCGGATAGTTGATACACTACACATATATAACTTTAAATACATACATATTATAAAATATATAAACATGACTGGAGTACTAACATTCCAGCTTATCACAAAAATGAATGCCCACAGTGGAACTCGAACCTGCGACCGCTGGCATAGCAAGTACGAGAGATAGCAAGCACTGCAAACTGAGTCAAACGACGCAGGATGTACTCGAGCGAAGCGAGTGTAATTTGCTAATAAAGTACAAACAAACATTATTCTTTCTCTTTGTAATCATAGTACATATAGATTTTATTAAGTTTTTTTGATTAAATACGTGTTTGTATCCGCAGACCGATCCTGGTGCTGAAGTGCGAGCAAGGGTTCGTGGGGCCGAAGGGCACTAAGCTGGAGTGCAACAAGGCCAACTACGAGACCATCCAGGTGGTGCGCGGCCCCAAGGGAGCCGTTTACTTCAAAGGTATGTTCATTTCTATTTATGTATATATAATTAGTAAAAGTTAGTGTAAAATTATCATTAGTAAGTATTTTATATTAAAAATAAGATAACTGCCTCGAGAGTTTAGTGGCTAGTATAGAGGTGTATAGCTGCACATCCCGAGTTTCCAGTTCTGGGTTCCCAGATTCAATTCGATTCAATTTGAAATCGATTGCAAATGATAATCCCATAAATATTCCATAAAGTGCCCAGAATTTCAGTTCCCATCCCAGAAAGTTTGGATGAATGGGTATTTGTTACACAATCACTTCAGAACGGCTGAACGAAATTGAATGAAATTCGACACAGACATAGATTATAGTCTGAAATAGCACATAGGTCACTTTTTATCTCGGAAAAATGTACAGTTCCCGTATAAATATAAGTTTACATAACGCACGTTATTAACATTCCCCATCCGCAGGTTCGAACGGCAAGTACTGGCACGCGGACAGCGAGAGCGTGACGTGCGACGCGGACAGCCCGCAGCCCTTCCACCTGGAGCTGCGCGAGCCCACGCGCCTCGCCATCCGCGCCGCCGCGCCGCCCGCCTACCTCGCCGCCGCCAAGAACGGCAACTTCCGCCTCGCCGGCGCCGACCTCGCGCTCGCCACGCACTGGGAGTACTAGGCGGCGCGCGCCGTCTCCCGCCGCGTCTGTGCGCCGAGTACCTCTGGTGTCCGTTGACTTTCTACAATGTTATGATGATCTCCTGGTACTTCTCTTTCTGTGATGATCTCCTGGTACTTTTTGTTGCATTCAAATCTCTAATACGACCTTCCAATAATTGATTGACCTTGTCCTTGCCACGCATCGAGAGTACTGGGAGAACATAATACAGCAACTACTAGCAATAGCCATCGCTCTCTTGTCTTCTGACCTCTTTGCGAGTAAGCTGCCCCGATATTTCGCATTTTTAATTGCGTTTCAAATAAGCCTCATTTTTGTTATACAAAGTACCAGAACATCATTCATAAAGTACATATCGGAAATTGTATTTGTATGGTAAATTCGTAAAATATTTATTAAGAGCCCTTTAAAAGAAAGTCCACGTACACCAGATATTTCGATACATGTAGGGGACTCCTTCGAGCGCTATATTATCTAATGTACACATAGCTATCTCTGTATAGGAACGATCGCTCGCAGGAGTCCGCGTCACTTCACAATACTCTTCCAAATAAACTACATCGGTTTGAACCAGGCGTTAAACTTAATTTTATCGTACTCTCACTGGGCGCACTGTTCCAGTTGACGCCATTTCATGCAGCGGCCATTTTGCACACAAGATGGCGACGAACGATCCAAACAGCTGATTCCGCGGGAATCCGCTGACAATGGTACTTAATTATACAAAAACAGGAATGTCGACAATGTAGGGCATTGTTTCACCACATTTCATTAAAAAAAATCAGCGGCAACTGGAAGCTGCGCCCGCGCATTTATTTAAGGTGTATGTGTATCGCGACCGCGAATGTGATTATGGAGGTATCGCTTGTGTAATTGTAATCATAGTTTACGTTCGTAGATCTGCAAGTTATCGCTTCGAGAATTATTTTTATACTCTAATATGACACGCTTGAATTATTTATTGTTTTGAAATCATACGTCTATGAGGTATTTATTGGGAAGTAGCGTCTAGTCGATTTCGCATCGGGGAAACATCTGACTGACTGCAACGCGCCGCTAGTGACTGGGCTGTTCGCAATACCAGACGTGCCGCCCTCCCCGCCCGCCCCCGTCTCCGCCCTACCCCGCCCTCACCCCCGCCCTAGCACGGAGTCTGGCACGTATTGAATAAGCTAATTAAGTTAATGTAAGTATATCGGTATAGGATTAAGCTCAAGCTCCCAAACGTCCGGTCGGAGGTTTTTTTAACTTTTTTACGATTTTGAGGTGTTTTTGTGTCCCGCGACGCGCGCGGAGTCTCAACAAACAAACGTACTGCGTATTATTGCTGATCCTAAATACTTGTACGATACATCTTTGTAAACTATTAATAAATAAATTATAATCATATTGTAACGTGGTGTTTTATTTGAATCCAACTCAAACATGATAGGTAATATAATACCACTACTATACTATACTATATCAGTAATAAATGCCTTACCCCATAAAATTGGATAGCGCTAATTTGGGCTATTAAAGCTTAATTTTGTTTGTTTGAATAGATCATAGATGGCGTTGATTCGCAAACTTTATAAAAGGCGCCATTTGTGAACATGAACTATATAGCCATTACCTGACTGACTGAATCAGTAAAAAATATGCAAATTTGATTTACTAGCGCGTTAATTTGGTTTTCCTTAACTTACGAGTATAGTTTAAAATTGTGAAAACAATTTATATCTAATTTTTGTTTTTATTTTACACAAGCTTGCAGCAGAATAAATCGATACAGATAATGCCATCTATGTACATTTATTTGAACTATTTTTGTTACTGATGAGAGTAAGACTTCTATAAAAAAAAATATAATACTATTCTAATGCTGATGCGTCATCTCATACATATAAATTGGAGAGCGCTAGTTCGCGCAATTTTTTTCCTTGAATAGATAATGCATGTAGTTAATACACTACATATTTACAGAAAAAATACTTCATAAATACATATATACATAAAAAGCAAAATATGTTGTTTAACAAAATCCTTAAATTAAAAAAAATCAGTACCAACAGCAATATTGGGTGATCCATTGTTAGGAATACTTAAAAATAAACAGCGCCATCTGTTGATACACATTACAAACTCATTACCTGATTAATAAGCCCTCAATCATAAAAATTATACAAATTTGGTTTATGAAGCATAGATTCATTTTGAGTATTTTTGAACCATAATACACCTTTTGCGGATATATTATTTTTATTATTAATACATGTAACGCCATCTATTGTCATTTATTTGAACTATTTTTTTTATTCCTAACGAGACCCCATGATGTTAATAATAATATTTAATAGTTCGGTCACATAATCAGATAATAATCAGAATGATGTTTAAGATAATGATGTACATAATTGATCAAGTAATAAAGCTCTGTAAAAAGGAAAATTGCTGTCGATTTCCGGCGATAGGTCAAATATTTTTTTTATTATTTATCTGAATATTTCTGCCTAATATAATATAACCAGTAGGAAAAAAGGCAACTCATTTTGGTTAATCTATGGGTATACATTTAACGCCCACGAGTTACGACTGGATGTAATTGAATTTAAAATTGGTGATATATGTATATAGATCCGATATACAATTTTTTAGTATGATAATTTAAAAAAAAGGCAAAATAAATAAAATACTTTCATTTCCCCTGCAGCTCAGTATAGAAAAAAAATTCTGTGTCACAGGCCATTTTGTTTTAAGATATATTTTGTATAAATGAAATTTGGTTTGAAAGTGAAATTTTAATATATTAATCACAATATAATACAAATGTAAAAGCCTGTACGTTTGTTTTGTAATTTGGATGAAAATTAGTACAATCGATTTTGATATCCAGCAACATAAGCTTCACTTTGTAATAAAATGTGGCAAGAGATAGCGCTGCTATAAATTATAATATTAAAATTGTAAAGTTTAAAAAGAATGCAATTAGTCATTACAATGAAAAATGACGGAACCCAGTTATAATGAATCGATTTGAATGATTTTTTTTCAGGTTTTTAATAAACTAAAAAGTTTACCCGTTAAAAATTACCACTGTTTTGAAAATCTGTAAATTAAAAAAAAATTAAGAATATCCACAAAAAGTACAATTATTGGAATTTTTAAATATTTATTTTAAGAAATTAATAACTGTTGTAGTTTTTGAGGATTTTTATACAAGATTTATAATATACAACTTTTTATAATTAATATGGTTCCATCATGTCTTCCTTTTCTTTGGCTAACGCTGGCTAAACCTTTGTAGGCCTTAAAACACCTACAAAACAGTCCACAATACCACATAGTAGAGTGCAATTAGGTTTATAACTCAGAACCCAGCTACGAGTATAATGAATGGATTTGGCTGATTTATGAGTTACTGTACTGAATTTCTTATACTAAAAAGAAGCAAATGCTTTAGTATAAGTAATACAATAGTAAAATAATATCATGCGAAGAGGTTGCGGCCAAGTGCGCAACGGCAGCTATCACTTTTCAAGATCTCTACGTATATTTCTGTGAAGTGGAGTATTATTATAACAAGTGCATCGATTTTGTTCCAAAAAGTCAATTATTATTTATTTAATTAAACATACTAGTGGGCACATTTTAATAGGCACCCCGGTCAAAACATATTGTCCCTTTTATTATTGTATATAAAAAATCGATTTTGATTAAATACGCTATGAACGTAGCAATCTTGCGACCGGATCTTGATATAAATGGCATTAAGGGCGCAGCACTCGATCGAACGAGAATAAGTCACCGGTAAAAATATATCTACCATTGAAGAAATGTAAAAAGTTTAATCATTTTAAAAGACCTATAGCTATAAATATCAACAAAAGGACAAAATCTGAGCAGAAAAAGTAATAAAACATTCCAGATTTACTGAAAAACTTATATATTTTAATTAAATAGTTACATTAATCTTTACAGTTGTCCCTAGCTAGTGGCTACGTGACATGGGATCAGCGTCGATGCATGTCGAACGAAACTATAATTATATTCAACATAATTTATCTACATTACAATAAACATAAATCAAAACAATAAAAACCACTATTTCGAAAAATAATGTTGCCAGTAAAATTTTTAAAAATACAATTATTGCTCTCAATAGGATCCGTAGCGTATTAAATCGGCATTTTCAGCTCTGGCAATACGCTAATAAACTAGCTGTATATAGCAACACTGTGAAAAGCGCATGTGTCGCTCTCCTTAACTCAATAGAGGGTAAACAATACCACGTACACATAAAATGGAATATTTGTACACACGTCGTAAAGCGGACTTGGACATGAACTCGCCTCGGCCCTAAATGTCGCTAAACGAGAAAAAATCCTAAAAAACATTTATAAAGGCATTTGGGTGTTTTATATTTTAGAATAGTGCATCAAAATTGGATGATAGATTCAACAACTCTCCAAACGAATGACATCAAAAATGTTCAAACCGAAATGGAACCTGCACACATTCAAAACGTTAATCTATGGAATACTCGAAAATACTTCGTCATAGCCAACTCTAGATACATGTCGAATGTAGATAGATACACGTACAGACACACAACATTCACACGCACTAACAGTTATTAGTAACATATTGGTGTTCGAGGCAAGGCAAGTTCGTTGAATGGACGAGCGGCGATACGCGCGGCTCACCTGGGCTTGCTTTACTTAGAATTAATTCATATAATAATAAGGTGACTGAAAAATGTTAATGTCACGAGTAAGCACGATAAATCACATGAAAATTACAAACACAAATTTAAAACTCGCTAAATAAATTATTATTGATATAACTAAAACAATTTTATATTTAAAAAAAACTATATTAAAATTGTCATATAAAAACAGTTAATCAATGATTTCAATATATTCTTTAAACTTTTACATTTCCCGCAAGCAAAATCATGTTTATTTAGCGAGTTTTAGCTCTATGCTTCAAATGCCACCCAGCTCGCGCATATCATAGACTAAAATAGGCAGGAGGCGTGGAGAAAGCTCTTTAGAATTATTTTACGTCTTTAGAGTTATTCGTCTAAATCCTATATGTAATGATAACAACAAAACGTGTAACCGCCTGTCTATCCAGCCGTATCTTACAACACAGGTATCGACTTATTATAAAATAGTAACGTCACGTCGGGCGGCCATATTGCTGTTTTTATGGGGGCCATAGAGTCGAGTTTCCATAGATATTACTCGAGTCCTTTCAAATAATCATGGATACCATGGCGATGATGAGATCCCTCTAGCGGCTGTTTTCAGAACTAAGAACAGTAGTGTACAATATTACTTAATAGTAACATTTCTAATTCCTTTATAGTTTAAAGTTAAATTGATCTCTATTTTAATGTAAATAAAGCACAGATTTAATAGCGACTTTTCTGGTATTAGTTCTGTGATTCGCCGGTAGGGGATTTGCACAACACCATTAGATAACTTCCTTTACAATTAAATGCACATTACACTTTACTTATCTATCATTCATTAAAAATAATAAAAAAATCATTATTTAATGTAAATCAAAACCGCTTGTCATAAATAACATATTTCATTAAACAAATTATAATTAAAAAAAAATACATATCAATCAATTTGTCAACTGAAGTTAATCAAGTATCAATCTATCAACGTATCAATCATCATCAACCACATTGTCATTTACATGTAAAGAATTATACCTAATGCCGGTTCCACACGCTCGCCAAGCCTCGACAAGCCGTCACAAACTCAAACATGTGGAGGGCGTTCGAGTCAGCTTGTGTATGTTTGCAAGTATTCGCGGCCGTTCCAATCGGTTGCATTCAATTCAATTCTCTTGTTAAATTGAATTGCATTCTTTTAACATAATCCTTAACATTTTGAGCCTTTTAATATTTTTAAATTACATTTTGACACTTTAATTTGAGGGATGTTTGATTTTATTCAATTAAGCAACAAAAACTCCAAAAAATTACAATTTATCTCTAATTAATAAAATTTAAAATACATTAGTCATTTTGAAAAACGTTACAAATATTGTAAGTTTTATCAATTTAATACTAAACTCCTTACTTATATTTTATAACCCATACGAAATGGATATATTTTGAACCAACTTAGTTTATTACACCCACTTCTTATAAATAAATAACATTCATTGATTCATCGATGGGAAGGCACGTGCTTGTGATGCATCCACACGTCTGTCCGTTTGTAGAGGTTTGAAGTTTGTGGCAAATAACAAGCGTTTGGATCCGACATAAGAATATATCTGAGGTATAATATCTAAGGAAACTCGTCGGCCACCGCCCATATGTATGTATGTATGTATACGCACAACTAAACATATTCTAAGGCACGATTAACACTCCTCTCGCCGTCGCCTCGTCCTGTCGCCGACACCGACACACCGACAGTGCTATTATAATAAATAATATATATATAACACTTATAGACTTACACCAATATTTGACATTTTACCGCGGGAAAATATCTTATTTCTGAGGAAAAATACAAAAACTGCAATGTAAGAGTATACTAATATGTAACACCTAAGAATTTAGTTTTTGGTCATCTGAACGCGGGCGGAGCCGCGGGCAATGCTAGTTTTAAATAAAACATATCTTTGTAATTCACAATTGTTTTTGATTTTTTGTGCCCGTCACTAATAACTATGACTTTTATGACGTCAAAAATTTAATCTTTTTGGATACCATGCTGTACAACAATCGAAACGTTGATGACATAAAAATTTAAATATAACCGCGTATAAAACATGTCTAAATGTACACTTTATTTCAATTTAATGGACAATTCATTTTAAATAATTTCAGAACTACTTGAGATTAGATCTTAACAGTATCAGCCGAGACTTCCTTAGATTTACGCGAATATTTGACATTTTAAATAAAACTTTTTCGAATTATTTCGCGGATTTATTTACAATTAAAATCAACAAATATTAAAAGGTACTTTATTGGCATTTTTGAGTTTTTGAAATCATATTTGTAAAATAGTGGTTGGGCACTGTCTGTAACAAGTATATAACGCCGTCTAAAACCTTAGCGTCTCCCGTGACCGTGATTGCTGTAAACTGTAAAGCATTCGAAACGTCGGGAACCAAAAATCAAAATAAATGCGCGAAAAAATCCGAAAAGATAATTTTATTTAAAGTATCAGCTGAGGTTTAATCGTGCTATCTTGTTATTTTCGGTAAGAAATTTTTAGTTCTTATTTCGTTAACCGGTAAAAAAATCTATGACATTATTTTTATGGTAATACGTATACATTTTTTTCATTTACAAAAAAATATATAAGAAAATTAAAATATCAATTTATTTTTTCTCTATCTATCAATCTATTTTTTTCACTCAAAAATTACATAACTAGCAACAAATTAAACTTGTCGGATTAAAGTAATACTTTTCTACGTACACAAGGCAAGTATATTAAAAAAATATATATAGTTATTTTATAATAGCACTGCTCAGTATAATTTAGAAATAATCTATTAATTCCATAAACAGCCGTTTCTTTTTCACTGGAACATATTTCACTTGCTAAAGAACTTATTCTCTATTGGTGTTGCCACAATAGAAATATATTCCACACTCTATGAGTCTACTGTGTCTATGCTAAGTGCGTTCAGAAATCATACTTTTTTTTAATTTATTTATATTGTTATTAATACTGCTGTCGTTTAGGTATTTGTTATCTGTAGCACCTACAATTGTTAGTCATCCATAGATAATATAAAATTGACAGATAGAAAGCTATTTTGATAGAAATAAAATATGAAAAAAGAACAATGCTTGTTTCATCATAGACAAGCATAAATAAAAAACTTGACCAGAATAATTTTACAAAAAAACCCCCTAAAATCGTTTTTTTGTCTATACTCTTTCTACCACATAACTATTCTATTTATCACTCTATACATTATCTATGGTACATGTCAGACGTTACAAAAAATCTCTTTAAAAAGACCAATTACAATTCGTAGTAATATTTTAAGTTATATATATGTATATATATTCAACGCATTTCTGAACGCGACAGTTGAGGCCAGTCTATCAATGATCCTGTACAGCTTCTCCGTATTAACCTTAAATTTTAACCTATCACCACAATATAGTTTCACGTTTTTATGCTAATTTTAAATACACCACTCACAAGATTACAAAAGAAAATCGATTATATTTAATCTTGTCAAAATATATATTTTTTTAAAGTAGACGGAAACGGACGTAATAAACTAAGAAGCGAGTTTATTTTTTTTAATTTCGTTAACACAATCCTTGACAATTTGAGTCCTTCTATATTTTTTAAATTACATTTTGACACTTTCATTTAAGTGACGTTTAATTTTATTCAATTAGGCAGCAAAAAGTCCAAAAAATTACAATTTATCTCTAATTAATTATATTTAAAATACATTAGTCATTTCGAAAAACGTTACAAATATTGTAAGTTTTTCCAATTTAATACTAAACTCCTTATTATTTATATTTTATATAACCCATACGCAATGGCTATATTTTGAACAAACTTAGTTTATTACACCCACTTCTTATTTTATCAATCAAAAAAGTACTAGATACACAATCAGCAACAAAAAATGTCCTCACCGAATGAGCGCTCATTTAAACATTTGAGCCACTTTTTTTTGTGAAAACAACTTTAAGCGTTGCATTTAAGGTTCAATTTACATTGCATATTTATTTCAACTAGAATAATTACCAAACAAAACACAATTGGTGACAGTTATAAGAGAACTTTTACATGGGATTGTGTATCTAGTACTTTTTTTATCGATGTCTTATATATAGATAGATAAATATAATTCATTGACAAAAATGAATTGCTCGAAAGTGATTAGATTGAATCTAAAGAAGAAAGCCATTGATGGGAACGTTCAGTTTACGATACAAAAAGTAGTGCAAATTGTATTTTATGTCAAAAAAATATATTAGAAATATCGATTATTAAAAAATATTGCTATACTTAATAAAAATCGATAATTTTCGTTTTTAGCTCTGGCAATACTAAATACAATGGTAGCCAGATGAAGAATATGTACGAATAAGATACATTTGCGTGTAAATAAATGTGTAAATATAAATAAGTGATGTATGTATGTATATAAACGTCCCATCGAGTTGTCGAGTGCTGCGTCGTACTCGAGCGTGGTAGCGAGCGCGGCCGCCGCGGTCACAGCTGCTCTGGAAACAACACAGTATTCAATTATATATATGTATTTTATAATTATAAATAATTCGATTTTTTAAATAAAACTATCTTTTCACGTCATTGGTCAATCATAGTCACGGGAGAGACGGATTGCTGTAAACTGTAAAGCAAAATATCAAAATAAATCGGCGAAAAAATCCGAAAAGATACTATTTGAATAACATATATTTTAATTTGGATTTGAATGCGGTTCTCCAAGCGAGCGCGTTACCACGGGCTACCGCTGGGTTTTATCTATACATATAATAAAATTAAAACTAAGCCGAATCTGTACATTAAATATTTGTTGCAAAACCTTATTGAAATAGTCATTATTATCGATACAGAAGCCGAAACTACAGTTTTTAGAAATTTTGTCTGTCTGTGACCGCATTACGGAAAAACTAGAGGGATTTTGGTTAAATATGGTATGATTATAGCTAGTTATCCGGGTCAACATATAGGATGTTTTTGTTTGCGAGAAAATATCTCATCTCTGAGGAATCTATACTAAACGTTAAAACGTAATTAGGAACGGATATCATACCTATGGCTAGGAAAGAAAAGGGTTAGGCGTGTGTCGCGTGGCGGGCGGCGACCAGGGGGACGTGGCGCGCGCGGGGGCCCAGGGGTCGGCCGCGGGGGCCGCGCCCGGGCCCCCCGCCGCACCCAGGGGCATAAGCTCGGGGCCCCCCAGCGATAGGGGCGCGAGCGGCGGCATGGCCAGCGGTGCGGCGTAGGCCGGCGTCGCGTTGGGGAACGGCAGCCCTTGGTTGAGCCCCATTTGCTGTTGTTTTATTTCATTGATTGATAGTTTAACCTGTGGGTATAGAGCGTTGGATTAAAGATATGATAGGTAATTTTTAATAATGTCCAAATATATTGTATTTACTTAGTTTAGGAAAAATTTTTTACATGAACCCTCAATTAATGTATATGTAAAGAGCACCAACTTACGTCAAATCTAGGCACTGACTAGCTTAAACTGAATTAATGATTTAAAGATCGACGATATTGAGTCAGTATTTAAAAACAATAGAAAAATTATAATAACTAAATGATGCTGACTATACTTTAACATTATATAAATGAGAGCAAACGGTGCAAGTGTGTATATGCAGACACTGTGTGTGTGTGTACGTACGGGCGGCGGCGCGCGGTCGTGCGCGAAGGGGTTGGGCGCGGGCGGGTCGGGCGGCGCGGGCTGCAGCAGGCGCTCCAGGTTCACCAGCGACGAGTTCTCGCCGAGGAACGCGGACGGGGACTTCTTCACGGCGCCCACTCCCGCGCCCGCCGCCGGCGACGCCGCCTTCGGGGCCAGGCTGTCGCCTGTGGACACCGCCAGGAGATAGATTAAACTTCGATTCTTTTCTTACATACAAAAACAATAATCTTACAAATAAAAATGGTCGGGATTCTCGGTCGAATCAGATGCTGTTGCCTAGTTATATTATATGAAAAAATTGATAAGTACAACGAAATATAACATGTGGTTTTGATTTTATAACAATAACTTCATTTGTAAAAAAAAGTAACTTGGAGCGAATCTGTTGATGGAGCGAGGAGGTGGAAAAAAGAAACTATTCAATGGCTACTCCCTCGAGTTTGAACTCATTTTAACAATTCTTACAAATAGTTGATCAAAAGCGCATTTTTCAAGTTTTTTAACGTATTTTTATGCAATAAACATACAAAGTGTTAATAAACATACCCAAAGTGGACAAATCGAAGGGATCCGCCTCCGGGTTGTTGTTGCGTCGCTGCGAGAGCGCGTCGAACTGCTCCAGCTCCGACGACGAGGGCGACGACAGGATCGACACCGGCGACTTACTTTGCAATTGCAACTGCGTATAAAATGTTATTTTTCTATTGAAACAACATATTATTTATTTTATTAAATATTTAAAAAAAATATAGGTAAATATATAGCTGATAAATTGATTTAATATAAATAAGTGCATCACTTATGAACGGCTTAACTGATTGAGCAATGTTTTAAAAATGGTTCGCAATAAAATTTTTAGAAGGAAAAATTACTCTTGGCTACACGCCCGGCTGGATTACCACCTGCCTACGCAAGTAAATATATCCATATTAATATTATAAATGTGAAAGTTTGCGAGTATGTATGGATGTTTGTTACTCTTTCACGCTAGAACGGCACATGAAATTGGTGAAATGATGAAATTTGGTACAGAGATAGATTATAGTCTGGAGTAACACAAAATCTACTTTTAATCCCAGAAAAATGTACGGTTCCCGTGGGATAGGTTTGTTTTTGTTTTCCAGTTATCTATACTTATTATAAAAATAAGTCCCCCGGCCGCGTCTTTCTGTCCTCCTGTCTGTCTGTACGCGATAAACTCGAAAACTACTGAACGGATTTTTATACGGTTTTCAACAATAGAAAGAGTAATTCTTGAGGAAGGTTTAGGTATATAATTTATTATGCTTTTATGTAAATTAGCTGAAATACGGCGACAAATGTTGAAGAGGTCGCAAAAAATCTCGCCAAATGGGAACTTTCCACGCGAACGCCGCGTAAACTAGCAAAGATACAGTTAAGTAATGTACTAGAGAATTCAAAATCTATAAAAATGCTACAAAAAAGTCCGCGATAGCATATCTCTATCTCTTACGGTTGACTTACAATAACCACTTTTATGTTAACATTTTTAATTAAAAACATTACGTTATTTTCAAAGTTATTTTCTTTAGTTCGGTATTAATCCTTATCCAAATGAATATTTTAGTTAGCTTAGTCATTTAATGCAGATTAAAATTGCTCTTTACACTAAATCAATCAGATGAATAGTTTTTGAGATATCGTTGTTAGAAGTAATTAGTAGCGAAACATTTTTAATGCTTGGCGAGCATTGAGATGCCTACGGCGAGTCCATCCCCTCTGCCCCGCATCGCTCGACCGCCTGCTCAAGCTATATAAACCGGGCGATGTAGCGCGCGATCCTAGGATACTTTTTACCGCGGGAAAATATCTTATTTCTGAGGAAAAATACAAAAACTGCAATGTAAGAGTATACTAATATGTAACACCTAAGAATTTAGTTTTTGGTCATCTGAACGCGGGCGGAGCCGCGGGCAATGCTAGTAAATAAATATTAGATATTCACTTAGTAGAAATATTATAAATAAATATAACGTGTAGTACCTGCGAGACGGGCGCCCAGGGGTCGGCGGGCGCGGCGGCGGCGGGCGCCCAGGGGTCGCGCGCCGGGCTCGCCGCCGACGACCACGCGTCCGGGGACGTGTCCTGCCGCACACACACATACATACATACATACATACATATATAATAATTTTTTATACAGCTAAATCTGTTAGTGTTATCTATACTAATATTATAAAGAGGTAGAGTTTATTTGTTTGTTTGTTTAAACGCGCTAATCTCAGGAACTACTTAACCGATTTGAAAAACTCTTTTTACATTAGACAGCTCGTTAATTGAGAAAGGCTATAGCCTACATATCATCATGCTACTACACAAGGGAGCGGAGCAGTAATCATAAATGTCATCAAATCGAGAAGACTTCCATACATTATTGTAAAACTGATTTTTCTAATCAAACAAATTTAACGCGGGTGAAACCGCGGGGCACAGCTATAATAAATATTATTGGAGTTACATTTTGAACTTTCCATTAAAACAACACTATTTTTAATAGGAATCCAATTATCTTTCAATTCGTCTTGAAAACGCAAATGTCATAGGGTACATAGATATTGGATATTATTAAAAAAAGGCAAAATTCAGGCGTCAATTTGTCTTTATAAAAAAAACTTTCAAGTCTTTTTGCATTATACTATGTTCCATTGTCAACCTTTTTCCCATCCGTTTAGTTAGTTTTTTACAAAATCGAGAATCAGATTTATTATTTTAAAATTCTATTTTTATAACACCATGATACGGTTCTAACTACTTATTGATTTATACATCGATTATGATATACCTAAAAAAGCAATTTGTGATATTTATAACAATGAATGTAATCGTGAAAAAACTCAAGCAAAAAATTACTTAAATACAATCAAAAATTCTTTAAAACAGGAATTGGAACTGCCAATAAATGTGATATATTCTAATATAATAATATCATTTACGTAAATTATTTTTATTATAATATTAAATACGTAATATCTAATATTACACACATGTACATATATACATACATTATAGTAAAATTACACAGATAAAAAATATAAATGAACCTAGCCCAGATTACTGATTCCACAGACAACGCAAACTGTCACGACCTTACCATAGAGTCCCCGATCGGACGGAAATCCAAACGCAAAGTCTAAATAAAATAATACAAAACTAAATAAATAATGAACTAAAAATTAATAAGTTTTTTCATTTTTGATATAAATTATATATTATAATTTCTTATGAATTATTATGATGGTTAATTAAAACTGTGCAAAAAAAATAATAATTCAGTATGTTTAAATTAATCTTACATAGAGAACAAACAAACACATTTTTTTTTTTTTTATTAATAGTAAATGTTATATAATATGTAAAAAATGAATATGTAATTGCGCCTTTATACCTATTGTTATTATCGTACCTTTTTGTACAATAAAAATAAATGCCAATCAAAAATAACATGCTTACACATTCAATATAAAAAAAATACCAAAGCTAGTAGTTAATAAAAAAAATTATTTCCCATTTAAATTGTATATTTCAACAAGAGGCCAAACATTCGCAACCCACCTGTTTCTGCAGGGCGGGCGCGTGCGCGGGGGGCGACGGCAGCCCCCAGGGGTCGAGCGAGTGCGGCGCGTGCGGCGGGTGCGGGGGGTGCGCGGGGGGCCCCGCCGGCGACAGGTTCACGTCGAGCAGGTCCAGGAGGTGGGACTGCTGCTCGGGCTTCTTCTCGACACCGGTAGTTCTGAAACGATAAATACATATTGAAACGATAATGCACAAATGCAGCAGTTTCTATTTTTTTTTGGCCACGGGACCCTAATTGATCATAATTTTTTCAACGGATCCCCTTTTTAATATACAGCTGATTGTGTTGTAGTTAAAATATTTTCTTGTTTCACTTAAAAGGATAAATCATAAATGAAAAATATTAATACTTATAATACCAATACTTATAGTACCAAGAGTATATATAACTAGCACTGAAATTAGGCTTCATGCTTGACAAAGTTTTATTTAACTCTCGGACGGAACTCGCAACCCCTAGGGTTTCGTAGACCACCATTTGGGAACCGTTAGTTTTTTGAAACAAACTTAAAATGTGTTTGTTTTTTTATCGTTCTTTCATCAACAATATCAAAACAAACAACAACAAAAATCGATATGAATTTTGTAAGTGTGGACCAGTGTTACATTTTGTTTATCCGCTTGTTATATTGGTTGCCACTTGATCTAATGAGGCCTGAGTTATCGATACTAATTAATATTATTATAAAGACACAGTTTAAACGCGCTAATTCCTGGAACTGGCCGTCAAGACTAAAAACAAATCTTTTACATTTTATAATCTATAAATAATAAATAAATATGTTGGGACATTAACACACAGCACCTACGAGGCTTGAATTAACCAGATAGTTGATACACTATATATTGTATAACTTTAAATACATACATATTATACATATAAACACTCATGACTGGAGTATAAGCATTCGTGCTCACAAATAAATGCCCCCAGCGGGACTCAAACTCGAGACCGCTGGCACAGTAAGTAGGGTCACTAAAAACAGAGCCAAACGTGTCGTCATTTTATAATCTATGTAGATTGTATATACATAGTATGGCATGTTCTTGAGGATAATAGAGAATACTAAGTGCAGGAAAAACTATTATTATTAACAAATACACTAACAGAATTACTTTTGGTAGCACTGAACAAGTCCGCAGAACTGACATGTTGGACTTGATTCCATTATTGTTTGCATTGGATACATATATTGATGCGAGCGATACGTTTGTTGGAATCTGGAAAAACGATGGATTTAGGGATATTAAAGGATAGGATATAGGTAAAGGGGTAGAGGTGACTGGTTCAATAATGGCCGTTTGAATGATTTTGGCCATGGCGGCCGGTGTCACTTTCACAAAAAACTATCTAACTGCATGGTGAGCAATAAGCATCATTTTCATTGGTCGTAAATTTCATCGTTATACCACATGCGTGGAGTCCTATATGTTAGTGGGATAAGATCAAGTAAAAAAGCGACACGTCCTTTACCTCTACATCGTTCAAGTACTCTCGAAATAAATAATTTTAATAGTAATAGCTATGAGATTTTCTCGTGACGTATATATAATATATAGTGTATCTATTCCATACTAACATTTAGAATGTACCTAGAGACGAATGATTCGCTAGTTATTGATATAAACGAGTATAGTACGAGGACAGGTGTGTGCCCACTCACTGGAAGTCATTCTGCGACTGGCTGATGGCGAGCTGCAGGCGCACGTCGTCGGAGCGGCGGCGGCGCTCCTCGCGCTCCGCCTCCTCGCGCGACATGGCCAGCGCCAGCTGCAGCTGCAGCTCCTCCTCGCCCGCCGTCAGCGGCCGCGCCAGCTCCGCCTCGCGCCCCGACCACGACCCCGGCGAGCTGCTCAGCTGGGCAACACACACGCGCGCGCACGGGACTTTACACTTTATGTATACCACTTATGGCTTTAATTGGCTTGTTCACATCAATTGACATTTTGTACAGTTATTGCTGCAAACGAGCTAGATATGACTCGCACGGGATATTGGACTTTATTGCTCACGGCTGACGTGTTTATTTAGCTTGGTAATACCACCGATCAATTTTGTATAGCGAAATGTGACGTGCACGGGACATTGGACTTTATTAATCATGAGTGACGACTTTAATTGAATAAATATTGTTATTTTTAGGTTTCATACACACAAATATTATAAAGAAATAAAGTTTATACAGAGGTAGTGTAAACTCTAATTCTACTCATCCGATCGTGGAAATTCTTTTACTAATACGCAGCTATATTACCGCCGAGTGGGCTAAAAGCTATTTTTTAATAGAAAATTAAAATAAAATATTGATGTTTTGTTATTATTTCTCAGTCAGTAATCATAATAATTTTAATCAAAGACGAAAATATGGCCGCTGAGTTACTTTATCGGCTATTGTTAGGCACATAGAGACGCATAAATCGCTTGTATATTATACTAGCGACTCACCCTCCGTTCTATTTGTCTCAAACTATCTTCTTACCAAATTTCATCTAAATCGGTTCAGTAGATCCAGAGACTACCCCCTACAACGTCACAAGCTCACAAAATTTACCTCTTTATAATATTAGTATAAATAAGACCATCTTATTTAAATATTTAACAAATTACATTCTGACAAATCCAAACAGCCGTTTAACGCCAGTTAATAAACTATAATTAATAATTTTGTCAAAATCTGTGGGCGATAAGCCTATCAATGGGTATAGGCTTTTATACTGCGGTAAAAATGTCTGAACGTACTTGTAAATCAGCGACACTCACTGCCGGATAAGTAGGGCTTGAGGGCGTGTCCAGAGCCCCGTCGCTGCCGAAGGCGCTGGCGCTTTGGGCGAAGCGCTGTTTCGCTTTAAGCGCTCGGGCTCGTTCGTTCTTTAGACGCTCGTCGTCCTTGAGAAGGTTGGCCAGCTGTTTCGCCTTCTCTCGCACATTTAGACCTGAAATTGTATTTATTATACTTAATATTATTTTTACTCTCTGACCCAAAATACCATCCATTCCTTCAGATGCCGCGTTCCATATACTAAACTTGTGGCTACGGATGCACGCGAGCGAAGAGAGGTTAAGTATCTAATAATAAAATAAAGGATATTGCCTAACATTATAATATCAATAAAATATCTATTCGCTATCATAAAACACTTTCTGCAGTATTAATGATTAAAATATTGATATTGCGATGGTAATTAATATATACAATTACATTCGACAGCCAAACCGCAAGTCACTTACCGCAAATGAATATAGGGTCTTATTTTGATTATGACGACTTAATGATATATTTAATTGCTTGTACACAAGTCAAAATAAAAAAAAAACACTTAACTTTAATCAACGCTTTAGTCCACTTATTTAGGTGCATTAAATTGCCTTATTTATTAACTTTTTGCAATACTATGGAACATGCTTCATCCTCCAGAGTTGGATTAAGGAAGGAGTAAAAAAATTTGCATAAAATTGACGAAATATTATTAGGGGCTAAATAAACTACCCCATGGTCCCAACATTAAAAATCCGGCCCTGTCAATTCTACAAGAAATAAAATCTTAATATGCAAACAAACCTTGATCCTTCCCTTCCTCCATATACTGGAAATCCTTCAATGTGTCTATCGCGTATATATTCTCCCTGCATTGCAAGGCAACCTTTTCGCTACCGGTCTTGATGAGATACTCCATGAGGACCAGAGCTTTGTACACGTGCCGCCAGTTCTTGCCGTGGTCGTTTAATCTCTTCCATATCATCTGCATGATTTCGGTGAACGCCATCACGTTGTACGTGAGGTCGGCGATCTCCGCCATCAGAGTGCTGGATGGGCCCCATGGATCGTTTGACGTTGCCTCGCGCACTTTTACCTGGAATTTTTTAGGTTTTCATTATTATTTTTACATAATCCACAGTTAAATCTACCCATAGACATTAATGAAAGAAAATATGTATTCCATATAGAAGCCAATTTTGGTTTTACATTATTTACTTTCAATGTAACATGAGGTAAACTAAGAAAATGTATTTGAAACTTGAAAGAAATGAATTAATAAGGTTAGACCGAAAAATATATTTAAAAAATTAAACAAAGGAGAATAAGAATATAAAAATCACTTAGAGTAATAGGTAATATATTTCTATGGTATTATTATATGCCATGATTTTTTATACAAACAAAACAATTATTTGAATCAAATAAACTTTCAAAAACACTATAATAATCATTTGTCACTCCGTTAAAAACTAAAGTCAACTCAAATTTTTTGAATGAACTAAAAATATTATTACATTATTTTTGTACCTACTTATTCTACGTGAGTTATATACATAAATTATTATGTACATATATGATATGTATGTGTTTAAAAAAATATTATAAAAGTACCTTTTTTCCTAGCTAATTTAAATATAATCTATCCATATTATAAATAGGCAGAGTTTGGTTGTTTCTTTGTTTGAACGCGCTTATCTCAAGAACTACTAATCCGATTTGAAATATTCTTTTTGCATTAGATAGCCCGTTTATTGAGGAAGGCTATAGGCTACATATCATCATGACACTTTTCAAGGAAGTGGAACAGTAATCATACGGGCAGACTTCCACACATTATTGTAAAACTATGTATATATGTACATATATAAAACTATATATGTTACATATATAAAACTATATATGTTACATATATAAAACTATATAACCCGAGCGAAGGGAGGGTGAGTCGCTATATAACACAATGCCAAAGAGTTTTTTTTGTAGATTGAACGCGGGCGAAGCCGCGGGTTCTGCTAGTTTAAATATAATAAAGAAAATAAACAAAATAATGAAAAGTATACATATTACTACTACTTAAATCAATAAGGCACCATCCATACATATCACAGTACACCATGTAAGGTCGTACAAGCGCCAAAATATCGTATCATGTTTATTTAAACGATGGTTGAACCTTAGAATGCCAACTAACGCCCGAGGATACGGGGCACGCGCGACGCCTTTTAAGCATTTGCTGTACGTTTTAGACTTATTGATATTCATATAAGAGTCGAGGAAATAAGACTCTTCCTTTCTGGGAAATGATAGAACATATGTATTGGGATTTAAGATGGTAGCAAATATCAAACTAATATTATAATTGGGATAGTTTGTGAGTAGGTATGTCTGTTACTCCTTAACGGTTGAACGGATTTGGATGAAGTTTATGTCATCAATCATTTGTAACATAAAGTAACGGGATACCAAGTTTCGAATTGATTAGATCTGTGGTAGTTGTTCATATCCTTTAATTTATAAAAAAGTCTATATTAAAATAGGTTCATCCGTTTGTGCACTACGATGCCACAGACAGATACACAAGATAAACTTATTACAACTTGCCCTCTTTTGCGTAGGGGGTTAAACATTATCAAATTGTAATCATATTAATTGAAAAGCATTTCGATTTTATTAACAAGCTACCTTTCTTAGATTTACGCGAATGTTTGACATTTTAAATACAACTATCTTTCCGGATTATTACGCCGATTTATTTAGATTTTTCGTTCTTTTTTTTTATTTGTGACCATGATGCTGTAAAGCATTCGAATCGTCGGGAACCAAAAATCAAAATAAATCCGCGATATAATCCGAAAAGATACGTTTTATTTACGAAGCTACATATTTTATAGATATCCATATTTAGAAAACTCCAAGTATTTCTGACGCAATGCGAAGATAACTAAAATCACAACAAAGACTAAAGTATTCAACTAAGTACTAATACTTATCATTCACCGATACCCATTAACATTGTATACAAAATGTGTATATTTCCTGTGAACTTATATACATTTCACAGTTTCCTGATGTTGTTAATATCATATTTAACGCAATGGAATTATAATGCCAAGATGAAAACTAACCAGTGATTTTTTTAAAATCTTTACATATAATAAAATTCCGAGTCGAATCTGTAGGTACATTAAATATTTTCTGGAAAATCTTATTGAAATAGTCATTATTATCGATACAGAGGCCGAATCCATATTTTTTAGAATTATTGTCTGTCTGTCTGTGACCGCATCACGGAAAAACCACTGGAGGCATATTGTAAGCTCCAAATAAATTTATTGTAATATTACAGTATTAGTTTGTGATTTTAGTTAAAATTCTAATAAACAGAATCGCAAACATAGCTGGTAAATAAAAAAACTTTCTTGATGGGCAGCCAAAAAACTCTTTTGTAATATATATATATATATATATTTTAATTACAACACGCTTATTTATGGTTTGTACATATGATTTATAAAATTAAAATTATTTTTTGTGATTTTCTTTACATGTTTTGGAAAATTACTCGATCTGAGCAGTAATTATAGTATTAAAGCATTAATATACGTTAGTTTGTAATTTAGCTTAACCATTGTTTTGTAAAAATATTGTAATTTGACAAATAATTTTAACAGTGTAAGTTATATCAACCAAAAATTTTTGCTGATAAGCTTTTAAGCTCAGCCGTCTATACTTATTTAATTCTGGTTCAAAGGATTAATGTGATGAGCAATTAATCTCCGATTTCAAGACCGAAAACTTTGGACGTCAACTGCATGGCTTCTAATAAATTCTTTGAAACGACCCCATTTGTAACACGAGGACGGAGTACTACTATCCTTATCCTTAGAAATGCCAAACGGAAAGACAAAATTGTTTTATCGATAATTATACCGATAAGTGCGTACATTTCAGTTGTACATACTTTCAGTTAATTAAAATTTTCTCACATTTTTTTCTTAAACTATAAAACAAATGGTAATCATGTCGAAAATTATTCGTATATGTAAATAATTATGAATCCACTAGTAATATTACAATTGTACGGACTTTTGTCAACATCACGTCATCAATGTGGTGTTGCAAATATTACTAGGGTAATTTCAATATCACTGAATGTGTTCAGCGAAATTATAATATTACTAAGATTGTCCCGTGATATTGTAAGAAAACGAGACGTTTGACAAAAGTCCGTAGAATTATAATATCACTAGCGAAATTATAATTTCATGGCTTTTACAATATCCTTGCGACAGATACGACTAACATTACAAGCTTTTAGGTCGAGGCCAAACATACTTTGCCAACTAACATTCATGACATCCTCACCTGGGCATCGGAATAATTGTGCGCGAGGTTTTTAATATTTCTCCTTAGGCCCGCCACGTTTACTTGCATTTCGTCCCGGGCTCGGGGCATCTGTAACATAAAGCGTATACGGTACATTCCTCACACTGCGGGTGTCATACAGTTGAATGGGCTTACGTTTAAAAATAACCTACATCTGTTTATCTTGAACTTGAAGTGAATGGGTTACAAGAATTTTACGTAAGTAAATAAATAAATATGTTGAGACATTAACACACAGCACCATCTAGTTCCATGGTAAGCTACGAGGCTTGTGTTATGGATACCAGATAGTTGATACACTACACGTATATAACTTTAAATACATACATATTATAAAATATATAAACACCTATAACTGGAGTAAAAACATTCGTGCTCATCACACAAATGAATGTCCCCAGCGGAACTAGAACCCGCGACCGCTGGCACAGCAAGGGTCACTACAAACTGAGCCAAACGTGTCGTCATTCGTGTCGTGTCATGTGACCATATTATATTTTTAATATTTTTAGCAAAGCATTCGCATAATATGTCAGCAGGATGTTTGTACAAAGTATAGACAACATGTACTATTATCCTGATTATAAAACACGTAAGGAGCAGCGCCTAAAAATCGCCAGTAACAAATGAGTAGAGCTTGAATGACTCAACACTGCCATTTAGGCCTAAAAACTTATTGTCTACGATTTATCTTAATTTTACAAAGAGGTTTGTTTGTAATCGAGAACAGAAACTGCTGTATCATCCATACATATAATAAAATTCTAACTAAGCTGAATCTGTACATTAAATATTTTTTTAATTGATTGAAAATATTATTATCGATACAGAGGCGAATCTATAGTTTTGAGATTTTTTGTCTATCTGTCTGTGATCGCACCACGAAAAAACCACTGGACAGATTTGGATAAAATTTGGTATGATAATAGCTGGTTATCCGAGTCAACATATAGGATACTTTTTATGGCGGGAACATATCTAAACTCTGAGCTAAACGTTAAAACGTAACTAGGGACGAAAGTGAAACGCGGAACGAGGGTGAGTCGCTAGTTTTTAATAATTCTCTTGCTTCTAGAAAGCTTTATAATATTATCCATAAATAACAAAGCTTTTATTTAATTTCAATACTAATATTTAAGTTTTCAGTCTGAAATAACATCTATCAGTAATTGGAAAATATAACAAGACTTTATAGTGAGAAAATATTGAAAAAAGTATATCAAATCCTTACAAAAACAACATCTGTAGATCAAAACTCAACACCACAGTATGCTAGCAGACAAAAAGACAGTAACAAAGCCATGGTGTACGTCGACGCGTTATTTTGGCTCGCGCGGCGTAAACAAAGAGAGCGCGACGTTGTTTTATTTATACCGACATTGAATAAACGTGCTAAAAGTGTTATCAATAGCATTGTTTAGAATTAGTGTTATGTCTGCGACTCTTTGAAATCTCTCTATATATAAATCGATGTGTGTATGTATGTTCCCTATGGACTCCAAAACGGCTGGAGTGATTTTGATGAAATTTTTAGGCAATCTTCAGATTAGCTAAGCGGCGAAGCCGCGGGTATTGCAAGTAGGTACACTATAGTAGACTATATACGTTCAGTACACAAAATTATACTACGAAAACAATTTGCACGCGCAAATAGCATCACTCAGTTTGCAGCTTTAGACAAGTTATAGTATAGCAATTGACATAAAAATACATTTTATATATATATATATATATATATATATATATATATATAAAAAGTTTGATAGTTACGTACTAAGTAACGTACACTTACACCTGTTAACTAAGAATATCTTGTCATTTTGTGAAAAAAATTTACATAGACACTTAAGGCTATTCCATACTCCACTTATGGAAGGTGCATGCATAAATGAAAAGTATCTACCAAAACATCCTATATAGGTTTATTTTAAAACTAACAACTCACCCTCGCTCCGCTCGTGTTCGTCCCTAGTTACGATTTAACGTTTAGAATAGATTTCTCAGAATATAGAGATATTTTCCTACTATAAAAACTAAAAAGTATCCTATATGTTGACCCGGATAACCAGCTATCATTATACTAAATTTCATGAAAATCCTGTGGTTTTCTCGTGATGCGATCACGTGCGATTACGGACAGACACAAAATTTCAAAAAACTGTAGACTCGGCCTCGATAATAATGATTATTTCAATAAGATTTTCCAAAAAATATTTAATGTACAGATTCGGCTTAGTTACAATTTTATTATATGTATAGACAGACAATAATAGATAATACTAGTTTATTAACATGTACATATGATATCATGACACTTCTATTGGCATTCATTTCTCAATGACTCACAAAGCTAATGACCTGCGTAATTCGCAACGTTCTTAGATAAAAATATAGTGCAAAAATTTGTTTACTACACGACTTGTTTACTACTCATATGATAAATATTATATTTCAAAAGCTGTTGTTGGACTCAACAAAAACCGACGGCCTGTCAGGGCTCTTGTGAACGATCCATTGTTTTCAAGTTTATTTTGGTCTGAGTTTGTGAAACTTAAGCATCTCAGTAGTTCATTTTGTAAGCATGTTTTCTTACTTATGAAAGTATTTTTTAACGGCTAAGAATTAATATTACAAAGGCGAGTTTGTTTGTTTGTTATCATTTTTATTTCATGTTTTGGCCGCGGGTTGAGGTCCCGCGGTGCGCAATCATTTGTGTGACGAGCGTGAATGTTTGTACTCCAGTCATGGGTGTTTTCTAATATGTTACATGTGTTTATGTTATATATATGAAGTGTATTAACTATCTGTTATCCATAACACAAGCTTCGTAGCTTACCATGGAACTAGATGGTGGTGTGTGTTAACATTCCAAGATACTATTCGTTATTAATTATTATTTATTTTAGAGCCAAGCTGCTTTATCGATCGCGATATATAGGTATGTATATTGTATATGGTAGCGATATTGTAGCTTCCATTACAACTTATGGGTATAGCTTTTTTCCCATAAGACGATAATAGCTATACGAAAATTATAATATTAGTCTGAGTAGATTACTTAATAGATTTCGGTATAAATTGGCTATTTTCCAGGAGAGAGGAGCAGAGGGATAAAAATTTGTATACAAAATCTAAAAATATATCATATTGGTTATTTATCACTTGGGTTAACATTTAGAAATATCGAGCGTAAACAAAGAGTTCTTGCTGAAAGTTGCGTTCGATACTGAACAACGTGCGTGGTACATTTTATTTCTAGCATAAGCGAAGCAAGAGCAAGTAGTTAGTGGAAAAAATCTATACAAATAATAAAATTGTAACTAAGTCGAATCTGTACATTAAATATTTTTTGGAAAATCTAATTGAAATAGACATTATTATCGATATAGAATCCGAATCTATATTTTTTAGAATTTTTGTCTGTCTGTCTGTTACCGCATCACGAGAAAACCACTGGACAGATTTTGATGAAATTTGGCATGATGATAGCTGGTTATCCGGGTCAACATATAGGATACTCTTTACCGCGGGAAAATGTCTCATTTCTGAGAAAAAATACAAAAACTGCATTGTAAGAGTATACGTAAAACCTAAGAATTTGATTTTTGGTCATCGGAACGCGGGCGGAGCCGCGGGCAATGCTAGTATACACATATTTTTTTAATGTTGGAGAATGTATTTACGCCTACCACCTACATACATACAGGTAGTTATGTGGGACTCGCCGGCTAGAGGGTACACTTATTTGTACACGTACATGTAACCGTATGTATCTAAAGTCTTGCTGTTTGAAGTATAAACCTTTTCAAAGAACACTAGAAAGTAGCTTTTTAGTTTAACTACTGTTGACAATGTCAAGTTTATTTTTCATAATTATAGCATTTAGTTTTCAACTTCAGAAAGTGTAATTCAAAAATTTTCAAAAAGTCAAAGAAAAATATGTACATCTTACTAATATTATAAATGTGAAACTTTAGATGTTTGGATGTTTATTATTAATTCACGCCAGAACAGAACAGAAGAAACCATAGATATAATAATACAAGAAACAAAAGAGATAGATTATGGTCTAGATTCTGGAATAGCACATATGATACTTTTTATCCCGCAAAATCTACTGTTTCCGTGGGATAGGTTTGTTTTTATTTCTCTAGAGGCGAACGAGTGAAGCGAGGGTGTGCCGTCAGTGTATGTATGTATATATGTATGTATGTATGTATGTATGTGTATATATATATATATATATATATATATATATATATATGCTCACGTGGACTATTACATAATGACGAACACGGAATTTCTGTCGTAAATAGATTTAAAAGAGATTTAAGACATCAGTACAACAAACCAGCGCCAATACAATTAAGGGAGGTTAATCTGAAATCGATATAATGGAAGCCCATGGCGCAACTGTTAGGTTTCTGTTGTTCACAGATGATCGCTTTCGTCTATGCAGATATCATAGAACACCATCTCCCCAATTACTAAAGTCAAATCGTATGACATTTTGGCAAAAAATCCGAAGGCTTAGGACAAGATGCCACTCTACAATCGTTGAAGAATTAAAATCTGAAAAAATATATGGGAATGACGTTTTGTGATTTAAAGAGTTAACGATTTATGTCATTTCTATACATTTTTAATTTTTTTATACTATAACTGCCTCGGTGGTGTAGTGGCTAGCATGTACGGCTGTACACCCGGAGGTCCTGGGTTCGAATCCTGGGTCGGGACAAGTTTAGTTATTGAGTCTTTCTGTATAGTAAGGCTCAGTAAAAGCCCGGAGTTGGGAAGTTGGCGGTGTTTCACCCCCGTGCCTCGGAGAGCACGTAAAGCCGTCGGTCCTGCGCCTTAACCCTCACCGGTCGTGTCGTCCCACCGGAGTATGAGAGTGACAGGAAGAGAGTGCACGTTGTGTCTGCGCGTACACTTGTGCACTATAATATCTCCTGCGCAGTTAGCTAGTCTCAATGAGATTGGCCGCCGTGGCCGGAATCGGTCAGGAGGAGAACATCATCAATTTTTTTATTTACAAGCAATTGTAGAATGACATAATTTTTAATATT